TATCTGCCGACTGTGTGTCAAGTTTCTCAGATTGGATATCTAGTTTCTCCGAAATTTTGGACAGTAGAATACTCACCGGGTCAGGTTGTGGTATTTGTTCTGCCAACTGGGTATTCCGTCCTACCCGTGATCGAAGCTCGTAGGATTTGCTGCCTGTCCCCTTCTGCTCACCTTCTTCCAGGCCTTTCTCTAGCATTTCAGTTGTTAATTCTTCAACTCCTAATTTTGTCATTTCTAAATTAAAAGTCCTGTCACGGTCGCCAATTTATGTCGTCACTGTACGTGATTCAATTCCTTTGATATCACGGACGATTAATATCAAACATTAGAAATGACAAAATAAATTTTAACAAAAACTAGGTACCTCTTTATTATATTCAACAAAACAACACACTAAACTATTTACTGTTTTTTAACAAAACAATTGAAAAAACATATGATTGTTTATTTATTAATCATGAAACAGTCTTTGGGCAAATTTATATAGAAATATCTATTGAGGGTTTTCTTTATAGATATTAATCATCGTACGTCAATGGCAATAATTAGTTTACCAGTATGCATATTCTAAACATACGAAACATGCGTTAAAAATTTAACAGCTTATTGTTATATTGTTATTTAACTGATTTTTCTTCGATTAAATGTTGTTGTTAACAATTTGCATTTGTGTTTAAAGTGAGTTCCTTATGTTAAGTATGCCATTCAAATATGTTATGTGCTTAATCTGTACCATTAATATTAGTGAGTAAAGTGGTGTATAGATTTCACAACTATATTTTGCTAGAGACCGTTGTATTTAACCACAACGGGCTCTGTTGCTAGTTTAAAATAAGAACTAGTAGGAGGCGTTCACAGACGCGCTCACAAAATTGAGCGGAGTCATCAGGGCATTAAAATGCCATTGACCCTCACCATCAAGCTTCAAAATTATTTTAACCTACAATTTAAAATATAATGATTGTGTAGAGATAACCTTTATTGATTGGTCAATTAATTTCAACGAATATGAACATTTCAAACTAAAACTAAAAAATCGTTATAACAGTGATGCCAAACGTATCTTCGACTAGTTTCTTTTTCAAACGTTCTTTTGGAAAGCCTGGGTCGAAAAGCAGTCCATATATATCGTTCGGACGGGCTCACTGCAACTATGTCAACCCAGCACTGAATTCTCTTGCCCAATACAGTATACACAACTGCTTGGTTCAGGGTCATGCCTTGGAATTTGTGAAATATAGGTGTCAATAAAAATGGGTTTCGGGTGCATTTAATGCCACGTTTTACAAGTTACAACAATAGGGACAATCGGTACCACATTATTGTATAACGTGAGTCCTGTGTATAATTACTTAATTCAACTAATACACATAAAAGCTGCATTTTCAAATGTGATAAGACTTCTTCACGTTCGTATAAAATATTGTGGACAGTGCCAACAGCATAGACTAATCCTGCATCGGTCCAAAGGTTGTGGCCTCTTAGGCCTCTACATGACTCTACATCCTTTAATCTGATGATATTTTCAAAAGATTGGCATTTATCGAAACTCAATATTGCGGCTATTGAAGGTTTGTTTATGACTTGAATGAATGCAAAAGAACTATGCAGCTTAGCCAATTCATTAAAGGGTGTCAGTTGCCAGCCACGTTAGCACATCTTCTTTTCATGCCATGATCCGAACAGCGTTGCATGTTTCTATGATTTTGTTGGTCTGAATCAAAAGAATATAATCTTCCTCTTTTATCATTCCATGAGCAATATTAGTAAGAGAGCAATACGAAAATGACGGATCTTTAATTGCTGGATTGACGCATAGTTTTTATTAGTTGATTGTTGTAATTGTTTAGAATGTGTTCGTATGCAAACCATCCATGTGTGTACATATCACGGATTTGAAAGATAAGAAAATGATGCAGTTTGCTTTTTTATGGATATATTTTGATCAAACTTGGTAAATTTATTTACTTTATACTAATGTTATTAATATATTGCTAAAAATCACACTTTTTACCCCCCCCCCCCCCCTATAGCAGCAAGCCTATATGAACTCATAAAACCTAATGTTAATTAAATACATTAATTGAAAATCAATCCAGGCAACTGGAAATTATCTTAGTCGGCAGGTTTGCTGCAGCGGGGGTGTTTGATAGTACAGTGAGTACAGTAGTTGGTAGTGCAATGAAATATTTTTTTTTATACAGCTTAATGATTGATAGGGCAGCATTTTTTTTAAACCTCAAAGCCCAGCTGTCATACTTGTTTAAAACCAGCTGTTTATTGTTGTTGTCTGTCGTTCAAATAACTATTTTGCTGTTTGTTTACGTTTAATATCAAGATCATTGCATTCAAAGTGTAAGAAAGAGCAAGAGCAAGATCATTGTACCTATTAGTCTGTTATTTTAAGTCGGGAAATTAAAAAACAGAAACAAAGGTAGTGAATTCTTAGTATTCCTCAAATAATGAACAGTCCTATACAGTATACACATAAGGGAGAGACATTCCCTATGAGGATGCCATTGAATTGTCAAGCTCAAGCACCTAGTAATTTAAAAACAATAGACAGAGACAGTTGAACTTTCTATGACTCTGTGTGGAACAAAAGATAATGAGTAGTACATTGTAAGTAATAGCTTTACTAAGTTTCAGGGGTAAATATGCATTTTAGGGTTTGCACGCGATTTTTGAAATTTTTTTTTTCATTCTACTCGAAATTTAACGCTGATTCCGAAAATGACGTTCTTTTTCCGCGGAAAACGACCATAACGCGGAAAAACGACCAAAACGACCAAAAACTCTTTTTTTACCAAAACACGTCATGTGGGTACTCAAATTAACCGTAATATTAAGCAGATCACGACTATGCAAGAATTTTTTGGATCCGAGGTCAAATAAGCGAGATTTTCACGTAAATATGCGATGCTATTTTGGATTTTTGCTCTAACTTTTGTCCGTGTTAAAATACCAGCTGATCAGGATCAGCTGGTCATTATTTTATTATAATTGTTTATGTTTTAATTTAACAGGTAAAAGGGATGATACTATGCATAACGTAACTTAACCTAACCTACCCTAACCTAACCAACCTAACCAAACCTAACCTAACCAACCTAACCTAACCTAACCAACCTAACCTAACATAACCAACCTAACCTAACCTAACCAACCTAACCTAACCAAACTGACCTAACCTAACCTAACCTAACCTAATCAACCTAACCTAACCTAACCAACCTAACCTAACCAACCTAACCTAACCTAACCTAACCTAACCTAATCAATCTAACCTAACCTAACCTAATCAATCTAACCTAACCTAATCAATCTAACCTAACCTAACCTAACCAAACCTAACCAAAATAACCTAACCAACCTAACCTAACCTAACCTAACCTAACCAACCTAACCTAACCAACCTAACCTAACCTAACCAACCTAACCAAACCTAACCTAACCAACCACACCAACCTAACCTAACCTAACCAACCTAACCTAACCAAACTAACCTAACCAACCTAACCTAACCTAACCTAACCTAACCAACCTAACCTAACCTAACCTAACCTAACCTAATCAATCTAACCTAACCTAACCTAATCAATCTAACCTAACCTAATCAATCTAACCTAACCTAACCTAACCAAACCTAACCAAAATAACCTAACCAACCTAACCTAACCTAACCTAACCTAACCAACCTAACCTAACCAACCTAACCTAACCTAACCAACCTAACCAAACCTAACCTAACCAACCACACCAACCTAACCTAACCTAACCAACCTAACCTAACCAAACTAACCTAACCAACCTAACCTAACCTAACCTAACCTAACCAACCTAACCTAACCTAACCTAACCTAACGAGCAACATGGCAGTGCTACTACAACCAATGAATAGGTTGGTACTGAAAAATTTCCCAATTTCAAGCATATCTCCCATAATTCTCCCGACTAATTACCCATTATTTTTTACACATTAAATTACAACGATAAACCACGTTAGATGTCTCCCCCACCCAAAACCCCGAATTCCCACCTGTCCCCTAGTGAGTTGGAGTTATTGCTGGTAGTATCACGTTTTCGTGAATATCTCGCTTATTTGACCTCGGATCCAAAAAATTCTTGCATAGTCGTGATCTGCTAAATATTCCGGTTAATTTGAGTACCCACATGACGTGTTTTGGTAAAAAAAGAGTTTTTGGTCGTTTTGGTCGTTTTTCCGCGTTATGGTCGTTTTCCGCGGAAAAAGAACGTCATTTTCGGAATCAGCGTTAAATTTCGAGTAGAATGAAAAAAAAAATTTCAAAAATCGCGTGCAAACCCTAAAATGCATATTAACCGTTTCAGGATCTGTTGTTTTCTATGGCATCAAAATAAATACCTATTGCCTATGTTGTGGACCATAATATAGCTGACCTAAGTTAGCGGCTGCACTTTACTTGACGTCCTACACTCATTCGAATGAAAATATCGATCGATATATCGATTAATCGATTGCTTCATTCGATATATCGTTTGGTTAGTTAGGTAAGGTTAACCTAAACTAACTAACCAAACGATGTATCGAATGAAAATATCGAATAAAAAAAAACAATCGAATGAGTGTAGGAAGTAAAGTGCAGCCAAGTTAGCATTTAATTGTGTTTTTACGCCTTTGGCTTTTATAAGGCGTTTTTTATAAGGGAACGGTCCAAACCCTGGTCTAAGATCTGCCTATTTACTAACCTAAATTCAATAAAGTAACATTTTACCTGGTGGTTAGAGTGCGGGACTTGGGTCCCTGAGGTCTGGGGTTCAAATTCCATCAGGTCTAGTCTAAAGTGATGTGTAAAACAATATGGGGCTTGTGCCTAGTAGCGCCCTAGGAAAAAAAAATAAAGGCTAAGGTACACCCCAAAGTTACTTGTTGTCTCCCAAAACATTTACCTCAAATCCTACCGCATCACATTCTTTTCAGCTTGGTATAGTTTGATTTAACAACATATGTGTGTTTGCAGTGATTGGGCCTGTGACGGTGACCACCGATCACAAGCTGTTGATGCAGAGACTAAACGAGATTCAGATCTATGGTGGAGGGGATTGTCCAGAGGCCTCCGTAGAAGCAGTGCTGCAGGTAAGTCCAAACCAAGGAGGTTAGAAAAAATCATTAAAACATGGGCTGCACTTTAGTTTACGTCCTACACTCATTCAAATGAAAAATATCGATATATAGATTATTTGATATATCGCTCGATATATTCATTCGAATGAGTGTAGGAGGAGGTAAACTAAAGTGCAGCCAAAACATGCAAGAAAAGAATTACGGTAGCAGCATTAAGTTCATATGTTCTAACCGGTGCGTAGCCTAGATAGTTCTCAAGCATTCTGAAACCCGGAGGTGAAAAGTTATTATTGGACTGGTCAATGTGTTCAATTTAAAATGTGTTTTTAGGAACCTCAGCTGTCTATCTCTCTAAAGAGGCCTTCTTTTAAACATTTACAAAATTTTCATAAAAAAATCTAAACAAATTATTTCTGTAGGCCTACCTTATTGTTTTATTAAGTTTTGTTGTGTTGCCTATGGACAATTTGGTCAGAACACAGGGATAATAGGGATGGTGGGTGATGGATACCAGCTCTGGTCAGGTCTACCACCTTAATAATACTAACGTGGATGAGGTGAGAAATAATCAATGGGTTTAAGCTTAAATATTTAATTTAAAATTTAAAATGCATATTGAATTAAACCAATATGTTTTTCATCAGGCACTCCAGTTGAGCCGCCCCAACTCTTACATTTACGTCTTCACAGATGCAAGAGCCAAGGATCATCATCTGATCAACCAAGTGCTTCCTCTGATTCAGAAGAAACAGTCACAGGTGAATTGTTAAAAATTGTTTTCTATATTTGTTTTGTAGTTATAGGACACTCTCTCAATCAGACATCTCACCTTCCTTCCCTATTGTTTAAAAGATAAATGAACCGTTAGAAGTCAATATGTTTGACTTAAAAACAAAAGTAGTAAGCAGTAACAGTAAGTAATATAGCAATAACATCTGCACCTAATAAACAGCCCTAGACAAACAGGTTGTGACATGTTTATTGACGTCCCTATGAACATAAACAAAAAGAATTGCACGTGTGTGAAAAATACAGGCCAAAAATGTATCAGTTTCAATTATTGTTTCCTTTTCTTTTCGATTGTATTAGATTTGCACAACACCAAAACATCAGGGTTTGTATTTTAGGGTGAAAATGACTGAAGTGTTGAGTGATGAGATGATAGCTTTGTTACTGACAGCTGGTTCTTTGATCAGGATCAACGAAAAAAAGCCTAACAATCAAAGATAGCTGGCCCAACTTTCAAACCATCATAAAGTTAGTGACATGCTCCAGGATCGACTGGCAACCACTTATAAAAAAGTTGAGATAATTGTATCTTACCTCAATTATTGCATGACCTTTGTTGTCTGTTGCAGGTTGTGTTTGTGATGACTGGAGACTGCGGGGATCAGACCCATCCTGGCTACCAGGTGTACCACAAGATAGCAGCTACCAGCTCTGGTCAGGTCTACCACCTTAACAAAACTGACGTGGACGAGGTGAGAAATACTCAATGATCAGCATTATGATGAAATATTACCCAACAAATAAATCTATTTTTTGATGTTTATTTGTTTTCACGTCCAGTGCCTTTGGATGACTGAAATCTGTCATCACTTGCTGATTGGTTCCTGGAATCTGGAACCCAACTTCAGCTGTCTCTAGTAGACATTTCTGAATTTCGATACGACTAATCAAAGTCATTTTAAACTTAATTGAGGTATAATTAATTAATCAACGTATATAGTCTCTGTGAAATCTTGAAAAGTAGGGCACTCTTGACATTGTGGATTGCTAAATTCTTCCACTGTCACACAGAGTTTGTAAAAGCGAGTCGAACGCTCGTACTGCCCAGTGAATGCTGGAAACTCGCAATGAACAAGTTCCACGCAAAACACACTTACTGTTGTCTGGTAGTGGTCTTCGGACCTATCTACCACTGAAGAGACTAAACAAAGTCGAAACAACAGAGCACACTTCTATCCTTAAAGGCGGATAGTCGTATTTGACTTAGCGCAGGCTCAATCAAATTTTGAATCCTCAAACCACACACTACACATGGATCGGTCACACCCGAGACGGTATGTGTGACGATTCCGATGCTCGGAGAGGTCGGGATTTGGTATTGAGATTTAAAAGATACATTCTGAGTGAATGTAATTCTTAAAATTGGCAAGGGGTTCGTCCCCATTTACCTTCTAAAATGATAACCTGTAATTGAGCGCTAGTCAGAACGGGAACAATATCACGCGTACATACACTCATTACATTCACTCAGAATGTATCTTTTAAATCTCAATACCAAATCCCGACCTCTCCGAGCATCGGAATCGTCACACATACCGTCTCGGGTGTGACCGATCCATGTGTAGTGTGTGGTTTGAGGATTCAAAATTTGATTGAGCCTGCGCTAAGTCAAATACGACTATCCGCCTTTAAGGATAGAAGTGTGCTCTGTTGTTTCGACTTTGTTTAGTCTCTTCAGTGGTAGATAGGTCCGAAGACCACTACCAGACAACAGTAAGTGTGTTTTGCGTGGAACTTGTTCATTGCGAGTTTCCAGCATTCACTGGGCAGTACGAGCGTTCGACTCGCTTTTACAAACTCTGTGTGACAGTGGAAGAATTTAGCAATCCACAATGTCAAGAGTGCCCTACTTTTCAAGATTTCACAGAGACTATATACGTTGATTAATTAATTATACCTCAATTAAGTTTAAAATGACTTTGATTAGTCGTATCGAAATTCAGAAATGTCTACTAGAGACAGCTGAAGTTGGGTTCCAGATTCCAGGAACCAATCAGCAAGTGATGACAGATTTCAGTCATCCAAAGGCACTGGACGTGAAAACAAATAAACATCAAAATTGATGAGTCCGTCCACAATAATTTAAGAACAATGAGTAATACTCATGTGTGAAATAAATCTACTTGGACTCAAACTAAAAGAGAGGTTGAAGAACTGTCTCTCAGCTATCCATTTTGGCTAGTGTTTTCATGTATAGTTTTGTTTGATAACTTAACTAAATCTCACTTGCGGTTCCAAGAGAAAGAGGAGGAAGAGGAGGGCAATAGGGGCTAAACCCCACCCATATCAGGGAAAAATTAATGTAAACTTACATCTCTTCTTAAAAACGCAACAGAGGTTTTTGGATACAGTTCTACAGGGTAAAAAATGGCTTAGAAAGTCATCAAACTACTTTAAAAATACCAAATTTTCCAGAGCTCACCCCTCTGTTCTTGGGGGTTGTGAGACACCTTGCGGTAGCACCCCTTGACAAGGTCCTAGAACTGCCAACCTACTAAATCTTAAAATATCCAGTTTGATTCAAGCACATAGGATCATCCTTTTATTAGGGTCGAGTGGTTGGGAATAGCTACTCTTTTTAGACTTTAGCCGAGACCTCCAAATTACATATTCAGAATAATTCGGGAGGAAACAACAGTTTACGTGGTTTAATTTTAGAGTATACCAAGTTCACAACTCTAACAACTCTAGTTCACACATATGGGGGTTTTTAAAAGAATGTAGAACAGAGAAAAATCTTCTTACTGGATAAGTAGATATTTTCTTTAAGGTATTCTAGATACCTGAATCTACGCATGGAAGGCCACAGTAGTATCAAACACTTGAAAGTCATTGATTATTGACAGTGGGTCTCCAGAACAGAAGTCCAACACTTACTACACCACTACACTACACCAGCTGTGTTTCTGCTTTGGTTCAGGTATGATCAAATCAAACCATTATTTGTGCTTCTAGGTCTTGAGCTTTGTACGAGTATCGCTGCAGTCGCGGAAGGTGAACCTGTTGTCTGTAGAGAGACCTCCGGCACAACGACCAGCGGATCTGCCTCTTCCCATCGACCAATCTCTGAAGGAGTTTACAGGTAGATTAAGATATTAAGATATTATTAATGGCAATTTGAAAATGCATTCTCACACATTAAGATGTTAATCAAAATATAAATATATATATAGCTATGGCAGGTGAAAGTTAACAGTCGGTCATAACATTGACTATTGACTAGTGAAGTAGACATCATACCTTATCAGCTGTAGCCAATTTTTTTTATCTAAAAAGAACATAGTCGAATGAACTACTCAAAGAGTGTGGTTCAGTCAAAAACTCTATTTGACAAAACACAGTCACAGACAAAGGCATCTCAAAACACAGATTAAAACAAAAACTCTACCTTAGATTTTCTTACTCAGATAGTAGGGGTGACATAAATGACGCTATAGCTTACAAGAAGTTGGATTTCAGTTTAATTGGCTCGATAACAAAGTTATCATTTGACAGAAATCACTAGGACCAGCACATTTTTTGTGTTGCCCAAGCCATAAAATTTTTAATTTACTGTAATTAATTTTGTTTTCTCAAAACTACAATTTTACCATGGGAGTTTAATATCTAGTTCTATCTATATCCAAAGGTTATACTGTCTGGAAATGTTAGCAATAGTCAAAATCTGTGTCAATTTCTTTACTCCCATTGCAGTGTCTGTGTCGGGATCAAACGCGTCTATTGGAGTGGTGGACCCGGGAGGTCATATGGTACATTCACCACAGCTGACTCCATTGTTGGACTTGCAGAATGTCAAGGTCGTCAATGTCAAGGTTAGTGAAGGTCGAGCTTTTATCATGATAATGGTTAACAGGGAATGTATTTTGGAAATGTTTGAATGGTTACTTAACAGATTCTAATGGTAAATGGATGTTATGTCTAATATTTAATTTAACCTTCTTGTAAGCTTATATAGAAAGGGACAGACCCCTAGACGCTTTATTCGGGCTTGAATTTTTATGCACCCCCAACAGTAAATGTCATCAAAGGTGGTTCATGCCAAGGTAAATATCGTGTCAATTAGGATGACATATTCGATGGATTAGGGAGATTCTTCCAACAACAATGAGAGACACACCACTAGATGCTTGTGGTATTAAATTAATCAAACATTAAATAATTGTCCAGATGAGAGTACAAAATAACAAAAAAGGTGGTGGGGGAGGGTTCTTGTGCATATTAACATCCTGCTTGCCGCTCTAATTGATACCATCCAAAATACATAACAGATTTGAGATTACCTACATTCTGTAGATCAGTTCATGTAGGTGACCCCTCTGGACAAGTTGTTCAAGGTTGCCACCCTACCTCAATTGCGTCGCTATCTTAAAGAAAGACTTATGAATGATAATAAAAGAACTCCTCGTAATCGAATGGCAATGAAAGAACTCCTTGTAATCTGGCATATGATAAGAAATCATATGCCTTATTTATTAAATAAATAAATTTAATATAAATTATTTATTTAAATGCATGCCTAGTGAACAGTCCTATGTAGTGTTTGCCTCATTTCTGTCAGTAAACTTTATTCAGTCTAGATTGTGCACAACCAAAAACCAATATTGTCGTATTGGGTTAAAGAAGAAAACGGTGTAAAAGATATATTATTTACCCGCAATAATATATCTTTTACAAACTTGACTCGAATATTGTCCTTAATGTTTTGGGAACATACCAAATTTGACTTTTCTGAAAATATTTTATGAGATGTAAATGTGCAGGAGCCCCCACCAGGTATGTGGACGCTGCAGGTGGGAAGTGACTCTCAACACACTGTACGATCTACAGGGCTGAGTGGTTCAGACTTTGTACACGGCTTCAGCGTTATCCCCACCACCAACATGGCCGAGACCTACCACCGCCCGCTCAAGTGTAAGTATTACAGCAGTTTGAATTTTGGGGATCAAAAGATTACATTCTTTAAAAGACTATCAAAGATATTTTCCATCACTGTTTGTTTAGTCAAATACACATTTTTTGGAATCACTTAGCTTTCAGAAAGGAACCTAGAATGGGACAATAAATATTATTTTAAATTGTTTGACTGCATTTACTTTAAATTAATCAATTAAAACCCCTGTGTTAGAATTATTGCTATTTTATTTTATTCTATTTATTTCAAAAATAATTTATATTCTTTGGATCATTTTTTAAATACTACACCATAAATAAATACTGTATTAATAACACGAAAAATGTATGACAAACTACTCTTCATTTAGAGACCAAGCAGATTGTAAAGTACAACAAATCTGACAACAAGTAGGGTTGAATATCCTTGAAAGCAAGAAACCTTAAAGCCTAAAATCTTTGTTGGTTCTTTAAAACTCGATTTCCCTGCCATATATTTTAATGCCATGTTATAACTGTTTGAATTTTCATCTGTTTTCAAGTGAACTATTTGCATTTTATCATCGTTACTGAATTAAACATCCCATCTATATGGACCTGTTCCATATATGTTCTGTATATGGATCTATATGGAGCTGTTGCCAACTGTTTAGATGAAAAAGAGCATAGTTACATGAGCCATTTACTTGTGCTTCAGTCAGAGCTCTGTTTTCTCTTTGAGTTTTTGGTACAATATTCCAAATAACATGCCAGGACTTAAATATTGGAATGGAATATGGAATGATTAATAATATAAATAGTCAATTGTTTGACCCACATCTATATATTTAATTCCGTTTCCAAGCAAATCGGTCCCCTCGAAATATCTCGAGCTAGGAAAAAGGTAGCATGGCTGTTGAGGATTCATTTTAAAGCTTAAGGTCCAAGGACAGTAGGGAAAAAAAGTGTCAAAAATTACCCCTGCTCTGCCCCACAAGCCATCAAAGATTCAGTCATTTTCTAATGGAAGTACTGCTATGGTGTTTTTTATAAGCTGCTTCAAATATACCAGCTGATGTAAAAATTGTGTATTTGTTTAGGTTTTTAGGTTTTAGATTGAAATGGTTATGCAGTGTTGAAATGGATTGTGTTAGGGAAAGACCGCAACTAGGAAGGAGAGTATTTAGGAATGGTGCACAGCATAGAGTTAAGGATAATGGTTAAGGACAAATTACAACGGAGGTGAAGGGCAGCAATCGCTGCTATGGTCCCCTAGTTCTGTTTAAATTTTCAAGCTAATTAACTCGCTATAACCAGTGATTGTTCTTATATAATGTGAAGTGCCTTGTGTATGCAGCCGGGTACAACTCAGTGCTGATCAGAGCCACTGAACCAGACGCTCTGTACAACCTGACCACGCTGGAGCTGGTACTACTCAATGGCACGGTGGTACAGACCATCCCGCTGTGTGTGGTCGAACATCAGCCGGGACTGTATAGCGGCGGACCGTTCATACCTCCCAACGAGTTCTTCTACCTAGGGGTACGTGACAGTGCATGCTTACAAAATGTGTTGTAGCTTTTACAATTGTAGTTTATGTTACCTGTATTGCCAAGTGATCCTGTTTTTGCAGTTAGACTCCCATGACAAAGACTTTATGTCTACATGGACATTAAGTGTAATTAATCCTTCAACGTGGATGGTGTGACGTGCAATGTCCTTGTAGAATTGACTATGAAGGCATAAAATCTTCACAAAGCATAAAGTCAAAAGAATCACTTGGTGATACAACAGTAAAATAACCTGTTGTTTATGCCACAACGAAATAGTTGTAGCTGTAACTAAGATAAAATACCAGCAATAAAAATATATCAGGTTTAAAATTAACTTGCCTATCCTCGTCACAACAAGATTTTATTACAGTAAATCATCAACAGAGCTGTCTTAAAGCTTGCTTAATTTAACTTTGATGATTTAAATCTAAAACATAACAAGGAAGTGACGTCCGATTCTATTAACAGTCAAAGCCAAAAGTTGGTGTTGCATCTGAGAATTGTAGTTTTTTCTTTAAATTGAGTTTGAATAAAAATATGGAAACTATATCTGAAAACGGAATGAAAATTAATTGTATTTAGTTTAGTCGTAGCTTGAAGTTCAATCACATTTACTTGCTAAAATAGTTAGGTAGTAATCAATTGGCATTGAGTAGACATATTTTCTTTAGGTTCATGGATTTGGTAAAGACAACTTCCCAGTGAAGAGGATCACGGCAACTGCTATCAGCGCACAACCACCAGGTAACAAAAAGACCACAATATTTTTAAATTCATTCATTTTGTGAACAGAATCATTTTTCAGAAATCTGTGATTCAAAACTGTCTTTCCCAAAAATACATAATTAAGTTACCAGCATTGATTTAATAACTTGTAAATAATTTTGGATTCCCAATACTGTTTAGTGTTTAGCGACATTTGTTTTTCTACCTTTAACCCCCCAAAAAGTCAAGTATGAAAAAAGTACCTGTTTGTCTCCACTTTATATCTTTACAAATTTTAAGTGTTGTCATAAACTTTTCAGAACTACCAACAGTCACTATCACTACAAGCTATGTGGCACAGATAGGAAAACCCCTGACGCTTTCATGCAGAGTGGAGTCTCTGGTTCCATTTGTTGTGAGATGGTACAAGGACGGCGCAATAAAAACTAAGGCTATGACTTACAAGTAAGATGTTCACTCTTGGAAATTCTTTACTTTAAATTGATTTATTGTAGCAAAATACACAAAAAACCTAGTTTTACTTCTTCACCGGGCCGAGAATTGTCTGTAGATGCAGCTGTCAACCCAGTTACATTTCGAGGTTATGTTATGATGGTTAGGTCGTGCCGACTAGGGTTCAACAGCCCTAGTCCAGAAGTTTATTAAGAGCAACTTTTCATCCTCTACTCTAATCATTCACCGAGTCATTGGATGTTGCATTGCAGCTAATAATGTGACTCTTTCCCCCTGCAAACACCAGGTACACTGAAGTCTTCTCAAAATAGTTTAACCTGGTTACAATACGGTCTGAAACGTACCCTGCCACCAATTAGGCCTGTTACAAATGCCACCATTAAAAAGTAACAGACTTTTAGCATTGGCACTGCCCCCATCTTATCATTTGTGGTTAAACGATGTAACTGGTGGAATTTTTTTTCACCAATTTCACTGGGTTAGTTTGTTTGTAATAAAAGGTTTTGTGTCTGGTGGGTTCTCAAAATCTGAACTGATGATCACAAAATCAGAGACTTGCAGCACTGGCATTTCTGGAAGATTATGACTAAAGTGAAAACCAAGTTTTAACCACTTCACTCATCACTTGTTCGACGTAAACATTACAAATCATTAATTTAAATTAATAAAAAATATCAATTGGCATGTGAATTTTGTCAACAAAAATCTGATATCACAGAGGCCAACTTACAACTGGTGGGACAGTGCAACGACAGCGCTCATTTTAACACTCCGCTGCAGACAAGGTAGGTAATATGACACTCTTGCTACGGTACTAAAGCTGAAATATCTTGAGGGGAGCGAGCTGGTCTAGTGGTAGAGCGTGGGGGCTTTGGTGCCCGAGATCATGGGTTCAAACCCCGCCCTCTATGTGGTAATGCCGCAACCCTCTAGGACTAGCTTGAAGTAATATTTTAAACAGTTCTTCCGGGCTGGAACTAGCGTCCTAGGATGTGAAAGTGGGGAAAAAATATAGCTGGAATACATACTGACTGTATGAACGTATTCTGTTGCTAAGATGGTAGTGACAGCCCAACCCTAAGTAATGAATCTTGTCAATTTGCAAAATTCTTATAATACATTAAATCATCGTATTGTAAACTGGTTTATACTGTAAATAAATTACGGTAATTGAATGGAAAGTGAAATGTTTGATATAAGCCACGGAATATCCATATTATCCACTGTATTTCATTTTTCAGTCAAACAGCTGAAGTTCCGCTGCAGATAGATTCTGTCAAGAAGACGGATGCCGGACGTTACATCTGTAAGGTTCACATTCCAAACATCCCAGGGACTGTTTTTAAGGACACCAGAGTGCAAGTAACAGGTAGATCTTTACGTTTTGTCATTGCCATTACATTTGTGTAGGTAATTTGTTGTTGCACTTAATTTATTTGACTTGAAACCTGTTGTGTATGGAAACAATAACTAGTAAACAACGGCAGTGGAAATGTAACATAAGTATTGAAGGTATGTGCAATTGCAAAATGTTTAGAATAATGTGAGATAAAAGAGCCACATTATGTTTTCTGTATCCTTTTTCATAGCATTGCAATCACAAGGTTATGAATAAAAATTATGAAACGATGTAAAACCATCTGCTTTGATTTTACTGTATAGTGCTTGATTTTAGACATGGAAATATTTGATCGTTTTTTACTCATTTACTAGTTAAAAGTGAATAAAAAAACGACCACTTTCCAATTGATATTTATTTGTCTGGGGTTTCAGTTTGTTGTAGTTGGCAAAATAGTGATTAAAATATTCAAACTTCCTCCCGGTGATATATTGTTTGATGTATGATCAATATTTTTTTGCCCGGATACATTTTTATAATATTGACTTTAAAAATTTTGTACTCATTTGTAAATTGATACCAACATAATTTTCAACAAATAGCGTAATGTTATTGCGTTTCCTGTGCCAGGATGGAACCATTCAGAAAAGTCTGCTATAGCGAAAAGAGTCCTTGTAGTCTTATACAACATGTGTCGTAAATAAAAAATGTATTAGCATTTTGTTGTTGTAAACAAGTGTAACAAAAGATTCCTCACATTATTATGAGACATATTTCAGGATAAATTAGATTTTTAAGATCACATTGATTGGTTGAATTGCCACTTGTTGATTTTAGTAATACAGTACACATTTAAATATTTTTGTTCTTTGTTCTAGGTCCGCCACCGCTGGTGGTAACTCCTAAAGAGGTGTCAGCACGACCCGGAGCTCCCATGGAGTTAACTTGTAGTGTCACCAGTGAAATGTCCTACAACGTCTCATGGTATCGCCTCAGCACTAGAGCCAAGGGTAACTTATTTTAGAAATGTAAATTATTTCCAATGTTTTTTATTGGTTTGAATTGATGTGATTTTCCGATGTTAGTCAAGATCACTAAGATGATTTAGTAAAATCGAGGAAGAAATTCCAATTTATTTAATGTAAAATTGTAACTTAAAGATTAATAAAAAAACATAATTCGTGCAAAAATTCAGGCTGATTTTTGGAATTTGTTTTTCGGAACAAGTTTCCCGGAGCAGTAAGCTTACCTAAGAGAATTTGTTGGTGATTACAGAGACATAAAACAGGTCATGCAACACAGCACTGATAATTCTACCCAGGACTTCTTCAAAGAGGTTGATTAGAAGTGTCAGATAAAATAAATGTTCACAAAATTTCAAGGAAATTAGTCCATTAGAATGTGTAATACTTTACAGACTTGCTGAATGATCAAAGTAATGTAGGATAGAAAAGTTTAGTTATTATAATCATGACTTTTAGTCTTGTGACAGTTCAATTAATTTCATTTATAACATAAATTCACAGTAGCCTGCAATGGTGGAGGTTCAGTAATGTATAAGTGATAAAAAACAGTGAGAATTGTCCTGTTGGTGGTAGACCAAGAACAGTCTTAAAATCTCAGATTGCCTATATTTAACAGATATATTTGTGATGTTTCTAGACACAAGTGGCAAAGCAGTGTTGGATCAGCTGACTGGATCCCCAGGGGTTGTGATATCTGCCAACAACAGTCTGGTGTTGACGTCTCCGGACATACCAGACGAGGGATGGTACATCTGTACGGCTCAGAACACAGGTAGAGAAACACAAACTGACACTTGATTCTTCCTAAACGTAGCAACTGTAAAACTGCATAACAGAACTTGTAATCACAACTATGGCAACTGAAATATACATCTTTTCCTGAGGTTCGCATATGGAGGAACAATATTATATTTCGTTACAAGTTATAAGTACCAAAATTTACGTTTACTGTTGTGTCGGCTCAAGTTTCATGTGTGAGGCAAAGCTGAACACAGAAAAAGCCAAATTTCTCAAACGAGGCAAAGCTGAGCATACTAGAGTGAGTTCCACATATATGGTGAAGCCAAGATAAGGGATAGTTAATTGGAGTAAGTGCCAGGAATCTTTCTTATTTAAGTGTAAGGAAATACACTTTTCATTACGATGCAAGTGCTGTTTATATTTAGATTGCTAAACAAACAGTAGAAACTGCTTATTTAAACTCTAAAAATAAATTGTTAAGTTCATATGTACCGTACTCTTGTGTAGTGGAACAATGGAGAACTAATTGAAAGCAAGGGAAAACCAGCTGGTGGGTGTTCCTTATTCTAAATTACAGCTTAGAAAACAATTTTTTTCTCTTGATATTATCCGCCAGTGCTGAAAAATGTTTTTAGGTTATGTGAGTGCATTTAGCAATGTTTGAAGTGCATTTTACAAAAATACTAAGGGCTTTTAAATTACAAGGTGGGCAGAGCTCTGGGAGGGTCTACCTTTCTATACAGCAGCCTCCAGCAGTGCGGGTAACTCCAGCACATCATCAGTACACTGTAGGATCTAGTGTGCATCTGCACTGTCAAGTGTTGGCTGGGATACCCTACCCTTCTGTCACCTGGACCAAGGATAACATACCTGTGCAGGTACAAGTAAGATTTTTGTACTCATTAAGTATCCTAGCAATGTCAAGATCTCTTGGCACCCAGGTCGGGTGTTATTGGGTATCACTTAACTGGCGGGGGGTGGGTGGAACTATTTAATGCTATTGTAGCTATTGTTGCTGAATCTTCTATTTATGAGCCCCGGGATTCCCCCCCCCCCTTGCTATAATAAACACTTTTATTCTTACTTTCAAAAAGTTACTGTTAGAAAATAATTCTTTATTGCATCTGATGACATAATGATGAATTTTTTATCCATACCAAACATTTGTATCATCTATTCTCGTTCAACGTACTCATTTTCTCTTGAAACATGTTGTCGAGGTGAGTTTGAAAGCTGATTTTTTAGAGACGCAGTTCTCTAACATCAGGGCTCAGATCCAGTACACTACACAGACCACTCCTTGACTCAAATTATTTTACTGATGAATGAATCTTATTTTTTACTGAATCTTCTTTCTTGTATGCATAATGTCCAAGCCAACGGGATCTGAACATACTAAACATCATTTTACAATAAAAAATGTGCAGGCTAACTGTTGAAAATATTAAAGGGGAGCCTCACAACAGTTCTCAAGTATCTAATCTAGCACACACTTGATTACATAGAAATCACAAGTCATAATAACGTCACTGATTTATTTTTTGGTTTGTAAATTCTTTCTCTTACCAAGCAATCCAAGTTTAGTCCAACGTTTAATCAGATCACATATTTTAGGGAGATGATGAGCCTAATGACAACATTCAGTGGACATTAAGGTTGAGGAACTTGCAGAAAGAAGACGAAGGAACTTACTTATGTGAGGCGAAAAACTCAGTGGGTTCTGGTAAGTGCAGTTACCTCCTTTTAGTCTCAACTTTCTACATTTTGGAAAAACATAGGATTATAGAAAAAATTAGGGAAAATTTTAAAAAACCCTATAACTTTAATAGTGGGAAGTTGGGATATAGATTTTATGATCTTGCTATCAGATTGCCTACTTGTTGCTTATGGTGGTGCTACTTCGACATTTGTGGCCATTTGTAGCACATCTCGGCTCAGTCAATTAGCCTTTGGCTCCTGTGGATTCCTAACAGCTGTATAATACCCATTTATTTTGTTTCCCTGGTATTTAAACCTTCTCTAGGTTAAAACTAGACAACCCAAGCCATAAATTTTTAGGAAATTGTAATGAAATAAAAATGCTTCTTTATTGAGGCAAACTTAAGACCTCATGGTCCTTACTTACATTTAACCTCTATATAATAAATTTCTGCAAATTCTGATTTTGTTGCAGAAAATATGCATTGGTCTCTCAGGCTAAGATCTATAGTGCTTCATTATTGTTTAGTGGCCAGTCAACAGCCGTATCAATGTTGGCTTTTTGAAGTATCAGAATTCTATTCCAATTAGGGGGATCTATCAGTATTTTTGTCAGTTCAATTCCTATTTTGGTCTTTCATACTCAATTATTCAGATACTTCTCCCAGTCTATGACTTTAGATTGTCCTAGTAAAGTAACTTGACAAGTTATTTTTCGTAATGTGTGTTGATAGCGCAGGGAAGTGCTGAGTTGACGTTGCTAGAACCACCCGAGGTCCGAGCAGAGACAGGCTCTCAGCTGGTCAAGCTAGGTGACTCAGTGAGTCTGCGGTGCTCAGCTTCAGGCGCTCCCACACCTCAGATCACCTGGTACCGGGACCAGACTCTGCTGACCGACGACTCACACCCGAAAATACAGGTAGGCGATATACAAGGACTGAAGACAGAGTCTCGGCGGACAAGAGAAACCTCTCTTGTCTCTTTCTTAGTTAAAGAAACAGCTGATAACAAAGTTACAGAAGGTATCTCTCTCCATCCACACTGATTCTTCACTTATATAAAAATATTATAATAGGTCGGCCGCTTAGAAAGCGTCCTCCTCGTAGTATTGGTGCGAGAGAGAGATAACAAGCTGTGGGAGTGAGACAGACTATGGTTCTTCCCCCACTCCGCTGCCCCACCCCCAACCTTTTATAAATATTAACAGCAATTAAATTATACAGCTGATCAAAATGTAAACAATTATGTTCTTCATAACTTGAGAAAAATAGGTCCTGCAAAAAATATTGTATAGCCTAAATCGCATCAATATTTGAGCATCATGAAATGTTATTATATCATTGTGTAAGCAGTTCCATTTGGTAACACAGGATTCCAACTCCCACGACACTGGGGCGGCGCCTTGTCAGTGCCGTGCCAGTGTCGTGTCGTGCAGTGTGAAAACGGCCATTGGCGGAGAGGGGGAACATACCCTCCCTCGCCGCTACCTCCCCTACATGCGCTAAAAATTTTGCGCATGTTGTTTTCTAAGTTGTACCGATTTTGTTGCAAAAGGCAACAAATCAATACAAGTTAACGCGAAGAACAGTCAGCTGTTTTGAACAATAGATCAGTATAGACCAGAATGCACCACGCACTAAAGGAGTAGAGGGGATAAGGTCTAGTCGGATGGTCATTTGCTTCCAGCAGTATCAGTTCCTCTCCAAATCTCAACGTAACTAGTTCGGTAAAACTTTCGTTTGTGCAAATTAAATTCATCTCGCGGCGTTTGGTCGGGCAATCTCAAATTTCCTTAAAGTCGTTCAGCCTATATCCCTAAGGGATATAATTGCCTCGCGATCGGAAATTAGAATTTGTGTTGTTGTCAAAAAGTGCAAAAGTTCGTTACCGGCCAAACGCGGTCCGCCATTTGAAAATTTCTCAAACGTTCACACGAGTTTCAATTGATCGCGTCTTGTAGAATACCGACTAGTTACATTTCCTCATCCTGATCCCTTTGTTTGTGTTATATTTGTGGACGTCCAAACTGTAAGTAATTTGTGTTATTTATTTGTTATATATTTAAATTTCAGTGAGTCGCATACTTTGTAAATTTTCCTGTCTTGTTTTGTTAATTCATGTAGAATAAGCACATGTTCCCCGGTTCGATCCCAATTCGCTGATTTTCATATCCATTCATATTGTAACAATCCTCTTTATTTATTAGACTGTGGTAATACAATAGCATTAAGAATAAATAGATGAAAATGTTTTTATAGGGTACTTCAGAGTTGCTTTGTAATATTTTTATATAGTATTTGAATTTTGCACAGAGTCATTATTAAAGGTACAATTCGTCAAGAGTGTCACAATCAGTATTTAAATTTGGGGGAATCAATTAATATCAAAGGAGGGATTAGGTAGCTGGTTCGGCTGAATCCGGAAGTGTTATCGGAGGCTGTGCCAGTTTGCATATAGATGAACCGCCAAAGTGCCAAATTAGCCATAAAACAATAAGCGACGTTCCAGTAAATATTATTACGATTAAACGCAATACTGTTTAATCAGTTGACCTTCGAGAATCGACCTTCATATTTACATCGTTGGCCAACGAACAGGACTTGCTTGGCACTGGTCATCTCAAATTAAATTAAAAACCACTCCTCCGTTGACACCTTCGAGATCGGTGTGAAACCGCGCCAAATATTCCCCTTTGATAAATCCATTCAACGTTCTCAAACAAAACAATTCAGTCTGATTGTATCACTCACGGTCATATTTTATATTACATCACACAATCAGAAATTGTCAAACCGAAATCATTGTAAATCTTAAATATTGCTTAATAAATCAAATTGTTACTCACTCTTTAGTTCTCAATAACCTTGGTAATTCAGTATATGCAATAGTATGTAATTGGTAAACAAAAGGTAATTCAGTAAATCATAAGCCACTACAAAAGATTCACCTTTTAAGTGCAACACTAAACACTAGTGTAGTGGTGAGCAAGTAAATTCAGTGTAGAATTAAGACTGGTAAATTGCTCTCATTAAAGGTATTACATTTTTGGAAGAACCATAACAGTACCAAGGGCGTCCCCTAAGGACCTTTGGGGAATATTTATATTTTGCAGGGCCCACACATATTTTTTATAACATCAAGCTTCCACTGCCAAAAGCTCTGTCTGATATTTTTATTTTCTAGAGTTCTTCCAACCTAGGGGCAACCAACATTTGTAAAGAATTCATTGGAGAGCATTGCAAGGAGTAAATATATTTAAATACAATATTTAAATATATAAAAGTAGTAGTAAGAAACTTTTTTAATTTTTCTTTACAAAGTGGCCGACCTATAACCCCATTCTCTATTCAACAAGTGTAAGAATTTGTTGTTAAGATATCAGTCTCAACTTTATGGTAAAGAGTCCACAAAGAAACACAAAATCGTATACGTGTCTCTTTTGCCCCTATGTTTTTTATGTTTAAAGGTCCATCCTGGTACATAGAGCAAACGTACTGGGGTTTGAAGGAGTTTTGTTCAGACTTACCTGAATAGAAAACGGTTCACTCTGGCTCAAGAAAAACGTAATACCTTACACTGTATACAATAGTTAAAATATAACACTGTCACTGGCGACATTTTTAATCAAGAATGGTTTAGGCCGGGAAGATTTCTCTTAAAAGTGATACTTGTTCAGAAGCAGTTAAAAAATTAGTGAACATGCTGTAGGACATTGAAATTTATGTGTTGCAGATTTTGAACAATGGAGGATTAGAGATCTACAATACAAGTCCTGAAGACAGCGGTCGATACACATGTGTTGCCAGAAATAAGGTTGGAACGGCCAAGGACTTTGTAGACGTAGAGATAGGTTCTGGTCCTCGCGTGGTACATCTACCATCAGGTGGGTTTCCTCATTGATTTTGATCAGTAAAATTCTGTCATGATAAGAAATGTGCTAGGAAGGTGTAGGGTCAACTGTAGTACTACTGGTAGTACAAATTTGTTGGATAACGAAGGGGTTGAATTTTTGTTTTGTGTTTTGCCTAAGTAGCTATACTATGGCTCAGTTCAGTGGTATAGTGTCTTGGGTTGATAAGCCAGACTTTGCTGGTTTGAGACTGGTCGGTCGCCTATCACAGTGGTCACACCACTGGTTTGTCCATGTTATGTATGTTTGTTCAAACTTATACAGTATGGTGCACTGTCTTTATATCACCACAAATATTCGGTGCTGTTAAGTTAAAAAAATACATGTGTGTCTATATCACACAAAAACAAGATGACACACATACCCTGATAAAGTTCCTAGTACCGTATCCATTTTGATTTTTAATTAACCCTTCTAAAAAATCAACAACATGAGATTTTAAATTACTTTTTGGAATGAAAAGAAAATAATCTAAATCTTTGTTTGGAATCTTAGATCTTGCAGTACCAATTGGAGGCTCAGCGAGTGTTTTGTGTGCTGCTATTGGTAACCCTGTGCCACAGACCACTTGGTCCAGAGACGGACGACCACTGCAGAGCCCCAGAATGTTTACCTCGGAACAAGGCGAACTGTTCATCAGAGGTGAGTTTGGTTCTGGTAATACAAACATTTATCTTAACAATTAAATTTTCTCAACTCTATGCTCTAAGGTAACTTAAATTATAAACACTTGATAAAATATTGGTAACAATGCTAATTGATGTTTTGTTCCGATATGAGGGTGAAAAATGTAACATTTATATAATTTGTATTCACTATTCAGTGTGCATTTGCATAATATCTGGTGTGACGACCACTAATCAAAGAACGCTTTTTGCTGTTGGATTACTGTACAACCCAATCTGAATCTATAATCCAGTTGTAGTGAAACTATGTTTGTGAACGTTAGAGTTTGTAAAAATGACTGTCTAGAGCGGTTTGATTTTTGTTGTACTAGTCAAGATATTTTGGTAACAGTACTGATACTACTGACTTTGACTAAGAGATTAATTAGGTCTTGGAGACGTTAACTGGGGAGGGAAACAAACTTTTTTATCTCTTCTGCTATTGCTGAAAGCTGCAATATTTAAGAAGAAAATGCACGCTGCAATGAAAAATCTCACTATCTATTGAATACATTTAACAGAAACTGTATTGCAGATTGTACCTCACAACTAGCAAGATTTTCAATTGGGACGTGAATTTCCAACTTGAATTTTGCAAGAGTGGACAACTTAGTGACACTTCTGCTGCAATGTCTTAGGAGGGGAACATTTTTGTACTTGTATGTGTGTGTTTGGTGGCGATAATAGATTTCATCCGATTTTAGAGGCAGAGAAGGATGACGAGGGAAATTACACGTGCACAGTCGAAAACACCTTTGGGAAAGCAACGTACAGCGTCAACGTTAAGATTACAGGCATAGGTAAGCAAAGTATTAAAGCCATACTAACACTCTTGTTTACAAAGATTGATGCTGAGTCTATTTTGAGGATGGGTATCCTATGCTGTCAGATAAGTTTTTGTTCCAAAACAATTTATGAAAATTCTTCCATGGGCAACTTAGTACAAAAAAACTACTAGTCAAACAATTAAGTTTTGGATTCTGAAGAACACATCTCATATATTAGATCAATTTTAGGAATTTTTTTATGTATTATGTTGTGGGACAATTGGGCTACGTCCATTTTTATTCAAAACTTGCGACAACTTTAACATGGGGATAGAAATGTCTAGTTCTTTCAATAATCACAGGTAGAACCAAAGTTGAAGCCAACAAATAAAAAAAAAAGAGTTTGCTGGTGATTTTAGTGTCACCACGGCTGATGCCGGGAAGTTTACCGAGGTCCACCAAGGTTCTCAATGGCCGCAGTGTCCAACTGCTATGTCCAGTACTTGCAGGCAACCCTCCCCCCACCAGGCAGTGGTTCAAGGATGGTGCTCTCCTGGACAACTACTACAGCTACTTGAAAATCGGGGTATTACTTTTATTTTATGCTGCATTTATTACACTTCGTGACATTTTTCACTGTCCAGTTTCACCCATTTCAATTGATTTCCAACCCTTTATTTAGACGATTAAATTTAAAGTTTTTCAATTTTGAGGTGTTGGGTATTATAAAACATATACTGCAAAGGAATTTCATGACATTAAAATTATTTCTATTCCAAAGAATGGAGAGTAAAAAATAGACAGTGGTTGTCGTTTGGGATATTGGGTTTTTTTTTAGGACAATTGATTGATTTGTAGGATAATAATGATCTTTCATGACTGCAGGAGACAAAGATTATGTCTACAAGAATGAGGAAGATATTTAAGGTTTTACTGCAATCGCAAAAAATGATGATGATGTTTCCGTGAACGCGGGATACGATGATGTGTACATGATCGTGGGATATATTAATTTAACATTTTGCCGCAATCAAAAAAGACGATAATGTTGTTTTCTGTGATTGCGGGAGACAATGATGATGTTTAACGAGAGATGTTTTGGATTTGGTCGCAATCACGGCTTCTACCTTCTTTAATAACAATTCTTATTACTGTGCTTAATCGGCGATTTTCTGGATAGTTGGAGCTCTAATGTACAATCATCAGTATGTCAAGAACTGATTGACAACTAATTTATGTATTATGATCATCAGAATGGAAATTGATCTTTGTATTGCTGTCATCAGAATGATGGGAGCTTGTTGCTGGCCAATGTTTCATCTGTACACAAAGGCTCGTACGAGTGTGTTGTGTCCAACGTCGGAGGAAGAGACTCTTTCACTACAACTGTTGATGTTATGGGTAATCACTTTGAACTAAACAAACTAATATACTATCATCTGGCTCTAAACAATAGTTTAGTCATTATAGTCTTCTATTCAGGTTTTAATTACATCATTGTACAATATACTATGTCAACATCAGACTCACAAAGTAACCTTACAGAGAAAAACAGTTTTTTTTATACTAATACAAATTGACATAACATTATTTTTATCCTAAAAAGTTTAAACAGGTAGTGCATTTAGTGATTCTTTAATAGATGTTGGTTTCTACAATGTTCAAACTTTACTCTTAAGTATAAGAATAAAAAAAACTTTGATTTAACTTTTACTTGTAGATAATCTATATGTTTAACTGTTCCTTTCATTCCCTGTCAACAGTTCCTCCCAATATCATAGTCACGGAGCAGGATAAGAGAAGGAGTGCTGTAGAAGGCAGTGATGTCACTTTTGCGTGTCCAGTCACTGGCGACCCTACACCCAACGTCACGTGGTCTCGACACTTCAAACGCTTACCTACGTAAGTTATAATTGGATTGTAATATACTTGAAATAATTTATTACTAAACTACTCACGCAATTCTCGCCAGACAGCTCAAAAACAATATTTTTGTTTAGGACATGTTTCGTTGCTAGAAACGCTATCGTCAGATTAGGGTACTTGTGGAGTTGCTTGGTTGGTATTGTCACAACAGGTTAAGTTGATTTAATGTCAATAACAAAATTTACTTTGTTAATGTACAGGAAAAAAGTGTATATTGATACTATAATTAATTAAAAAGAGGTGTACAAAATGTTAGTGTTAACTAACAGATATTGTGAATTACAGTTATGTTTGTCTCAACTATATTGTTACCGACTTGTGAGTTTCAACTGTAATTTAGTATGAGTTTCAACTGAATCGTAGGATCGAGAATTAAGTAGAATGCATTCTAGTGTTAGATGTTTCTAATTATCAATGTTATTGCACTGGATGTTAAGTTAAATAAAATGTTTCTCTAAGTAAATATTCTTTTTATATACACTATTTAAAATTTTAAAAATCTACTTTTTTGATATTGGGACTTTTTATAGGTTGTCTGAAAACATTTTTACTCCTAGAAGCATTAGTAACAATGTTCATTTACAGATCTGGACCAAACAACTCATCACTCGTCCTGCGCAATGTCTCCTTCAGTGATTATGGGCCTTACACCTGCATGGCTATGAGTCCTGCAGGGTCAACTTCTATCTCTGTGTTCCTCAATGTACTAAGTAAGTGTGGTCATCTCCTACTCCATAGTAATATAAATATTTGTAAAAACCACTGTTATAAATAAGAAGCATCAATATTGTGTGAACTCAAGAGAGTTTATTTGCATGGTTCATGTATGAGGGTTTCCTGTAAAATGTATACAGAATATACCCCTGTTGCAGCAAGAGCCGCATTCAGTTTCATGCTGGCTAATATCTGAGAAAGTAAAAGTGTTTACATCTACTGTTTTACTGTATATATATTTTTTTCTTAGTGATTTTATTTTAGTTCTATATTATTGAACATAGTTATCAATAATTCAATATCTCTAGTCAAAAACAGTAAATTATTATTTAAAAACACTTTTCATTTTCAAACAAGTTATTTTTAATTGGAATCAACTTTAAATTTGGTAAAATAATAAAATGTGTACGTTTTCCAGTACCTCCAAGGTTTGACGTATTAAAGGAGAATATCACTGTCAACGAAGGTCACATCGCTCGTTTGGAATGCTATTTTCTTTCCAATCCTCGTTCAAATATCTCATGGTATTTTGAGACAAAATTGCTGCCATACTACGACCTTGTGGTCACGTAAGTATCAAACTACGTCAATTGTTGTTTTGTGTATGTGCTTTCAGAAATGTACAAACAATATGATCAAGCGTTGTAGATCAATGGTAGTGTTTTGCACCGATAAACCAGACAAAGTCACCATTTTTATTGTGGTTTACAGAAATACAATGGTTGCACCTAAATGTTTTGACGTTTCTTATAGACTTGCTAGTGGTTGTTTTGGTTCAATCAGCCAAAGCATCACAGTGAATGAATCGCCCATTTATTTTGTAATAATTTAAGCAACTTAAAATTATCATATTAATTTTGCTTCAATTAACCATGAAAATAAGGCCATCTCGGGCACTAAAACTGGTCCCACATAGTGTTAGATTCAAGGGAATCTACTCCTACCGTGTGGTTTCACATACATAAAATATCTGATCAGAGAATAATTAAACACTTATATCGGAATTCATCCTGTGTTTAAAACATTTAGTTAACCTGTCAAGAAGTACATATTTTTTTAAAACAATAAGTTAACAGGACTTCTTATCTGTTGTTATTTGGCTTTCTGTATGTTAATAACCTTACACTTAATGGTATATCCCACAGGGAATTAATTTGTTTTACTTTAATTTAACTAGTGTTCTGTTTCATAAAAATATCATTTTGCAGTTTCCCAGTAAATAGGACGTCTGCAGGACAGTACAAGTGCTTGGCTGAAAACGAGGTCGGATCATCCGCCAAGCTGATTAATCTCTTTGTCACTGGTAAATATTTTGATATGTCATATACCTTAAAGAGAATCTATGGAACATCGTCAATGAGTGGAGGTTGTATTATAGGATACTGATTTTAAGTTACAGATGAAGAGTGTCCAAAGGGAAAAACAGGTTAACCTCGCAAAAGTAAATTTTCCAGGAGAGTTAAAAGAAGGTTTTTCAAGGAACTAATTACCAGCCCATTGCTTTTAAAATTGAACGGAGGTCGCCACGTTCTTGCATACGCTCATTGTGGGTTGTCCCGTTCTTCCCTGGATGTGTTTATTTCAAAGGTGATTTACTCGTATAAGGAGCCCGTTTTTGTCAATTTCCAATTTGGCAAACTGTTTACATTTAAAAGATGTATTCAAAACCTTTTATAACAAAATTTTGCATTTTAAGGTTAGCCCACTTTTTCCTTGGACTCTTCAGATGCAATACTCTCACAAAAAAAATCTTTTTACGATTTACACTTGTTGTAAACTACTGTATTGTGAAGTTTTCTTATCACCATTATTTGTCTCTTGCAAGACGAAGGAGCGTGAGTACATAGGTATCATATGTACGTAAACCCCTTCATATTGCAAGTGTCAAACTAAAAGTTATTAAATTTTTTTGTGAAAGAAAATATTTATGTCATCCTGTGTTTTTATTAGGCTTATCTGGAATTTGTTTAGCAGCTATGTGTGTTTATGCTGCAGGGGGAGGTAGACTTTCTGAACTGAACTATACCTGCCCTCCCTTCAAAATATACTTTAATTGTGGCCCTCGAGGTCCTTTGGTCTATAATAACAGAACAATTTTTTTGTAATTTTTCACCTTCACCTGTGAATAAGACAGAAGGTAATGTATGTAAATAGTAATAGCTTATATGATTGGTGTAATCCGCAGTGGTGCCTCGTATTGACCCCCTGACTCCCACCAAGGTGGTGGGTGTGGCCGGGGAGGATGTGCAGCTGTCTTGTCCTGCTACAGGTCAACCCAAGCCCTCCATCAGCTGGTCCAAACAAGGCTCTCCTCTGCCAAGGTGCGTCATGGAAGTACAGGTTACTCCGAGTAGAATCAGTATGGACAAAGAACTACTATGTGTGCATTCAGTTGTGGAAAATGATAAGGCTTATGTTTATGTAAAATAGTATATGGCATGCTACTAAGTAAGATTACTACATTGCATAGACTTCAGGGATTCTGCAAAATAGTATTTACCTACTAAGTAAAATTGACTTTTTCATGCACCAATCAAAACTGTAAGTGACGTGCTACCAGTTAAAGATTATGGTATTCTGCTTTCTACTAAGTAAAATGAACCTGCTACTGGTGTAGTGATCCTGTCAAATGTTTCTTTTAGCTTTGACCACCAATACAATTGGGTGTGTTGCTAGCCTAGTGGTTAGTGTCTCGGCCTTCGGTGTGGAAGGGACGAGCGCTCAATTTCCGAAACATTCAAAAACTTCAATGGGTTTGGACCGCTTTCCCTTTTAAGCGTTTAATTTTACTTGATTATAAAAAGGCCAAAAGGGGAAAAAATAAACACAAGAAAAAAACACCAGCAAGAACTACTTAATACTTGGAGGATGTTAATATCAGACAATTCTTCTCTATGCTCAAGACAGGTGAGTGCAGACGGCTCTGTCATGTTGGCCAACCTGACCACAGCTGATGCTGGAACATATGTTTGCACTACTACCAACATGGCTGGCTCTGCAGTGCTTCCCATAGCTTTGGATGTACATGGTAAATACAAACTTACAGTTTATTGTTAGTGTTAAAATTGTGCATGGCTTTTGTATTGAATAGTATGACAAAAGCTCCCATTAACTTAAATATTATTTAGAGGTTGATTTTTAAACCTTAAGTATGCACCTTCTGAGCAGACCATCTTTTGGTACTACTGTAAGTAGTTTTGCTTAAATTATTGTGACACCATGTTAAAATTTTATTTTTACCACACCTCTTAAAAGTGTAATTAAATTGTTTATAATTAGATGTAAATGAGTTAATTGAATGCAATTGTTCATGTATAAGATATCTAGATCATTAACATTTGTTTAAATATTTAATATTACTTAGTTATTTTCCGTCTCCAGTGACTGTTGATTTCTGCTATTGCATGCTAGTTTGTGACAAAGTAACTAAACAGATTTTTCGAAATATATTTATTTTTGAATGTGCATTAAACACAAAGAAAGTTTCCTAAAAACATTATTAAATGAATTGAACTATGTTAATTGAATTGGTCAAGTTTCATACCAATCCTACCTCTTACAGTTACTGCATTTCAGTAATTATTTTGGTTAATGCATAGTTCTAAATAGACAATATTGTTGCAGGAATTAACTGGGCTATCATTTTTCTTGGGAGCAGCCGTAACATGTAAGAGGTATGGATTGTTTGGGTTTATTATTATATTATTAGTAAAGTTCTTAAGTCTTAACACTATTTTCAAATAGTAAAAATATCAATAGCATAACCCTTTGAGCCCAAAAGGTTTTATGTGATAAACTATGCTCACAAACCTAGTTTTGTGTAGTAAATTACACCACAGAACGGTTTATAGTGAATAATAATTTTTGATGTACAGAAAAAATTATACTTTCATTCTGTTGAACAATTCATATATCCAACAGCAATGCCATATTTTTAACATCCATAACAAAAAAAAACATGTTAGTAGTTTTTGATCCCTATGTGCCAACTGTAAAAATATTTTCTGTAATTTGGGGTAAGCACCAGACTTATACTATAATCTGTTAAAAAAAAATAGTAGTTTAGGGGATGAAATCTCTCCCCTCTTGATCCTACCATCAAAACATATCTCAACAGCTGAGATTTGTCAAAACGTCAATCAGCTACAACATTCATGAAGCAGAAAAAAGTGGTTAAGAAATTTCCCCTCAAACCGCCTAAATTGTGTGAACGGACTTTAATGTTAATTATCTATTTGGTTTTTCCTATTTTTTTTTACTACTGTAGTTGGACTATAAATAACTGTACTAATGCATTCTTTGCTTCAACCAAACACAACAGGATGAAACGTTTATAAAAAAACATTCAACTGACAGAAGAACATTCTAGTGTTACTAAACAAACAGCAACGGCATCTTAGACATAAGATATTCAAGTGATTATAAGTCTTCTTTTTATTTATGGCACATTCGTGCACTTGCACATACCTGTCACTTTTTCTATAAGAAACTAATCAAAACCCGTTTGTCCTCACACTGTTGGGTACAGATTTCATTGTGACGTTCTGATGTTATTTTTAGTACTGTACAATCCTGTAGTTTTTTGTTTTTTTTATGCTAGGCACAAGCCTGGGATTGTTTTTCATATTACTTCAGGCTAGACCTGTTGCGGCAATATCAGTTTGATAAAATTCATTGGTGATTTGGCGGGATTTGAACCAGGGACCGAAGTCCCACGCTCTAACCACTAGACCAGCTCGCTCCCCCACAGTCCTGGAGTAGTTTACACATAAATTTGAATTCATTATCCTATTATCTTCTGATAGTACAGACATCTTTTAGTTAGACAAGGATCGGGTCCCTAGGTGTCTGAAAGGGAGGGAGTCTATGGTAAAGGTTTGAATCAAGGCACTGTTTCATAACATGTGTTTGCCGCAGTGAAGCCTGTGATTGTCCGGTGGGAGGGGGAGGCGAGTGTGCTGGAAGGGGAAGTAGTCAACGTCGTCTGTGAGGCCGAGGGTGATCCTGTACCTTCATTTAAGTGGCTCAGCAACGGAGAAACTCACACTGTTGGCTCCACACTCAAGTAAGTTTTGGGCCAATTGCATCTCTTCCAGCATCCCATAGGTGACTTATATATTTATTGTAATCACAACATAGTAAGTACATTATTCTAGTCTGTTTTATTTCTATAAAAAACATATAAAGTGTTGTTAAACATTCTCAGCTTTATTTGTCTTTATTACAACCCATATTTCACTTTTGAAAAGGATTATTATGTACAAGGATAGGGATCAGCTAGCTTACCTGGTAGACAGAGTCAAGATTAGCCTTGATTACACATTAAACACATGACACAACACAGAAATGTGTTTAATGTGTAATCAAGGCTAATCTGGACTCTGTCTACCAGGTAAGCTAGCTGATCCCTATCCTTGTACGTAATAATCCTAACTCAGACAATTGGCCTTTTCTTAACTCCTAACCTTTTTAAAAGATTAGTCATCTGCCATTTTTATTCAATTTAGATAAAATATTAAAACCTTAAATTTTATCATTTCTTTATAACAATTGTTTTAGGTTCATGGTGAAAAGAGAAAACGCTGGGATCTACGTTTGTGTAGCAGAGAATAAAGTGGGAAGCGATAGGCAGAACTTCTCTTTGACTGTTATAGGTTTGATTTATTTCTATACATTATTTGTCATATGGAAATGTTAAAACCTAAACACTTAATGGTATACCATTCACTGTCTTTCTGAGGTCAGGAAAATAGATGAAGTCTGTGAACTGTAATAGTACACCTAACAATTAAAGTTAACAATAGTAGTTACTATCACCTCTTCAACTCATACAATTAATTGTATTTATTATAGTATGACTTTTAATACAAGGAGCTCTCCAATACTGAGGAAGTTCTTCTTATCTGATAGACTTGTTCTTTTTTGTTTTTTTGGTCCTAAATTTATGATATTTGTTGGTATTCCTGCTTACATTTCCACAACACTTTTTTAATACATATTTTCAATTAATACATTTTTTAATACATTTTCAATGAAATGGCGATATTCTTAAAGACTAACGATGCAAATGACGTTTTCTACTGTGTGGGATATTTAGTTTTTATTTTTAAATATGTAGGCCTACTGGCTGTGTTGGCATTGGCGCGACCAGAACGTTTTTGTGTTTTCTGAAAATATTCAAATTCGTCACTTGCAACGTTGTTGCAATTGATGATGTTTCATCCTGGATTCTTTTTGATATGTTTGACTCAGAATTTAGTGATTTAGAATGTCTTGTCCCTCAGTCCCTGCCCAGATTGTAGGCAGTGAGCAGGAAGCCGTGAGACTCTACGGCAACGGCTCCGACACTCGTCTGATCTGCGAGGTTGATGGTGTTCCTTGGCCTTCGGTCACTTGGTACAAGGATGGTGTCAATGTCACCAACGACAAACGGTTCAGGTATTTCAACTTTTTTAAATGTCAAGTTAAGTCTAGAACATTCTTGTAATTAACTAGCTCACTGGCTTTGCTGAATTAAGGCAATTAAAAAAATATTTACAGTTCAATTTTCTTATTGAAACAAATTAAATATAGGTTATATGACAATGTTTGCATTGCTAGTTTAGTAAAATATAAAGTGGCTGATGTTTATCTTCTAACTATTGCATAAATGATTGTTCCAGAATTGAAGGAAATGCACTTGTTGTATCAAACGCCTCTGACGATTTGGCTGGAACGTACATTTGCCAAGCAGAAAATGTGGCTGGGATAGCTCAAAAGATTTTTGAAACAGAATTCTATGGTAATTATTGCGTATTGTTATTTCACTAAATGAAAATTGACGGAGATCAAAAGTTGATAGAACTTAAATAATGACAATGTATCTAAACACCTTGTAAGTTTTAGAAGTAAGTTGCTAAAATTAAATTTCAAAGTAGTACTTGTAGTTATTGTTACAATTTGTGGGAAATAAGTAGGCCTATCTGGACGGCAAATAATTAAAATATTCTCATACCAGGAACATGTTAGTCACAGTTTAATACTGAAATTTAAGTTCAATAAGATTTTTAGTAAAAACACATACATGTGATTCCAATTTTACAAATAGCCTTTTTTTACATTTTAAACCATGATAAATTAGCTAATCGTGTGTAAATAATGTCCAGAACCACCTAGAATACTGGACACAAGCCCCACGTTAATCACCCTCAGGGAAGGGGATGACTACACCATCCCTTGTACAGCCACAGGTGTACCAACCCCTGATGTTAGATGGAGAGGGCTGGCTCCAGGCTTCCAGAATGGTAGGTACCTCTCAGCATCGACTTTCGATCTGCAAGTAGGAAGTACACTCAACATGTTGTAAAATGTGAAGTTTTGACGAATGTCTCGTCTGGTTAAGTAGCCTACATTTTCAATCTGTTTGATGTTGACAACATTTTTTTAAAATTTTTGTTCTGTTCAGTTTTTCCATTGTGTCTTTTTTGCTAATAATTCCAAATGATGAGCAACAGCATTGACAACATACAGAATAGGGCGAATAAAATTCTGATCCTAATCTAAAATGTGGAGCTTGTTTTGATAAGTTTGAGTGCACTTATGTTACTATATTTTTCTTTGTTCGGTACACCGTTTTTGCTTTAGTCTTATGCCATAATTCCAAGATAAGCAATGGTTAGTAAATAAATAGTTTTTCTTTTATTGATGAATATATGTTTCGTCAAATATATTATCTTTGACATATCATGAACTTTTTAATATTTCAAACTACAATCAAATGCAGTAGGCAATCAATCAACTCGTTTTGCTGCAAAAGTTGTGCCCTCAGGCTAACATTCATGTCCAATACATCCTGACGGCACACCATTTTGTTGTGACTTCTCGTTGCTGATAATGTAGTAATTGCTTGGTGCTATAAATTCCCATAGTGAAGTCTTACACCATTTTAAATACTTGCTTATTTTTGAAGGTTACCATCATGACACCATAATAAAGGATTTATTGCAAGATGATTGTGATGTTGACAGATGAAATTGTTGTGATGAAGGACAACCTGCTGGTGTTGACTCAGGTGACAATAGCTAGCGAAGGAGAATACCAATGTGTGGCTAGCAGTGCTGCGGGTGTTGCGCAACGGAACTACACCGTCCACGTCGTAGGTAACTGGTGCATGTTTCATTAAGAATATCTTTATAGATATGCTTCCACGTTCTCATGCTGTGATTTGTGATCTTCAGGTGACAAATGTGTCATAGTTGGTAGCAATTAGGAGAGAACCAGGTGGGTGGACAGAAGTCTTTCATTTTGACACGGTCGTTACTCAAAAATCACAAACTTGAAGAATTCAGAGATTAAGTTCTTGTTTCTGCTAATGAACATATCTCAAATGGTAACCGAAGACATTAGACACAGTATAATTCTAGTTTGGGAATCACACCAGTATTCTTTTTTTCATAATCCCATGTAACAAGAATATTATTTCCTCAATTCAAATATACTCTATTTATAGTTGCCAGTGGCTAAGTAAGCAAAGATGTAGAGTGTGTGTTTGTATGAGGAGAAAAATCACAAACAGTTAAATATACTGTTTCCCCCAAAAATAATACTTCTAATGTTTTCTAATAATACTTCTTGTAAACATCTGGCTGATGAGTCATTCTAGAAGAAATACATTACATATGATCAATTTTGGTATATTTATGAGATTTTAGGGTCGTCAAGTTATTTGAATGTAATTTACAGTTCCTCCAGTGGCGATGAACAGTTCTGTGACCCGTGTGGAAATTGTTGAATCCAACAGCGGTATTTTGACTTGTCCAGTACAACACGGCTTACCTCACCCATCCATACAATGGCTCAAGGTATGGTAACTGTTCAAATCACATTATTGAATGAAGGTTTTTTAGTAAATAACAGAAGTGCATTAAAAGAAACTGGAAACGGTATTGCATTTAGTGGGTGAATGATGAACGTAGTGAGTGAATGATGAACTAAATTTGAAAGTAAATCAAGTTAGGGTGATTCTGCTGATCGTTTTCCCATGCCATGAGTTAGAAAATATTTTTACATCAGCTCTCAAAAAGGCTACAATCTATAGAATGCTGTTGTGAAAAAATATTTTTATGTAAGCTTATAAGAAAGTAAATATAGCAATTTAGATAGTATGATGTACTTTTATTTTTGTAATTACTTCAACGACAGGACGGAGTTCCTATCAGTTTTGTGGTGAATGAAAGAGCAGATGATACTCACTACATCTTGAAAGACGGCAGTCTGTCTCTGAAAATCGTAGAAGCACGACCGGAAGATAGCGGATTGTATGCATGCATTGCCACCAATCTAGCAGGTAACTCTTTGTGGCTGTCTTTACATTTTTTCACGTTTATATCAATAATTGCTGACTAAAATAATGTTTGGAAAAGATATTCAGTTTCTTATACAGTAGAACCTCTTTAATCCGAACTAACTAATAATAATGTAGACCTTAATCTGTTTATTGGAAATATGGATTGCAAAATTAATGTTATATCTATAAATGAACATTGGCTTGATGTTAAAAGTATAAATGTTTTAAATAAACTAGATGGTTTTGTGATTGCTGACTACTATGCTAGAATAGATCAATGGCGGGGGGGTTCATGTTTAATGATTGACAAAAATGTTAGTTTTAAGATTAGAAATGACTTAAAATTTTTAAATGAACAATGTTGTTTTGAAGGATCTTTTATTGAAGTCAAGGACTGGAATTCAGTTTTTATTTCAGTATACAGAATTCCAGGTAGGGACATAGATAAGATATTTTTAGAAAAGTTTGAAATGTTATTAGACAAAATAGCTTTGGAAGCAATGTCAAAAAATGTTTTTATAATGTCAGACACAAATATAGATTTATTTACCGATAAAGTAAGTACTGATAATTTACTAGAAATTTGTGATTGTTTTGGATTCAAACCTAACGTTCTTGTTCCAACTAGGGTAACGAGTATTTCAAGTACTTGCATTGACAATATTATTTCTAACTTGCAGACAAAAAAAACTAGCAGTTTAGTTTTAGACATAGGTGCATCAGACCACAAAGTTTTACTTTTGTCATTTGAGAAAATGTCCTCTCCAAGACTTAAGGGTGTAAATAAAAAACTTACTCGGAAGTTTACAGAAACAAATTTTCAAACCTTTGAAAACACACTAAATAATGTTGTTTGGAAACCTTTTGAAACCTTTAATGTAGATACAAATTACAATAAATTTTTTACAAACTTTCTAAATTCATTCAACGAGGCATTCCCCAAAACAGTAGATCGTCCAAAGAATAAACGTAACAAAAATAACTGGATAACAACAGGAATAAAAATTTCAGCAGAAAATAAAAATAAGTTGCACCAAGAATCAAAATGGAATCGTAACCCTCAGTTTTTAATCTATTACAAAAACTACAGAAAGGTCTTTAAAAAAGTAGTTGCATTAGCAAAACTGAAAGCTAATGACGATTTTATTAAAAAATCTAAGAATAAAAGTAAAGCATCTTGGGTAGTAGTGAAAAATGAAACAGGACTTAATAAACAAATATCTGATACTCCAGTTGAGATTAAATTCAAACATGAAAGGGATATACAAAATTGTGCAGTATTGGTAGCAAATAAATTCAATAACTTTTTTATTAATGTTTCTCAGTATGCCAACAAATCAACAGATAAATTAAAAGCCACTCAGTTACTAATCGAAAATCATCCACGTTCCAAATTAACATTTAAATTTAGAAATGTTTCAATTGACGAGTTAAGAAAAGTTGTTACATCTCTCAGTAACACTAAGTCCTCAGGTTGGGATGAAATTCCTCTTTTTGTCATTAAAAGAGTTTTTAAATTTATAGAACATCCATTATGCCAAATAGTGAATCAGTCCCTTGAGAGGGGGGTTTTTCCTGATAAGCTAAAGTTGGCTGAGATTAAACCTCTGTTCAAAGAGGGCGATGTCAACGATCCCTCTAACTACCGCCCCATCGCCCTTCTGCCTTGTTTTTCAAAGATTTTTGAAAAAATTGTAAAGATTCAACTAACAGAATATTTAGAAAGCAATAATTTAATAAATCCTTCACAGTTTGGTTTCCGCCCAGAACTCGGTACTGAAAAATCCATAACAAAAATGATTAACTACATTGCGGAAGCCTTGGATGGATCGCAGAAGACTGTGGGTGTGCTATGTGACCTATCCAAGGCTTTTGACTGTGTGAATCATGAGATACTCATAGAAAAATTAAGTATGCATGGAATAAAAAATACTGAATTAAAATGGTTCATATCATATTTAAAGACCCGAAAACAAAGACTTATTTTACAAAAAATGCAGAGAAATTATAAATCAGAGTGGAACATTAACCCCAATGGAGTTCCTCAGGGCTCCATTCTCGGCCCTTGTTTATTTATTATTTATGTTAATGATCTATGCAATGCTACTAAGATGTCCACCTTTCAATACGCAGATGATACCGCTTTAATATGCACAGGACAAAACAATGAGTTCATTCAAGCCTCAATAACTAAGGAATTTCAACTCCTTGGGGATTGGTTTGCAGTAAATGGCCTGTCCATGAATGTGGCAAAAACTCAACTAATTCAGTTTTCTGCATCCAATATTAAGCAAGAAATAATTGTAAATACAAACTTAACTACAATTCATTCACAACAGTCAATAAATTATTTGGGAATAGAAATCGATTCACAACTAAATTGGCAAAAACACATTAAAAACCTATCAAAAAGACTACGCTCAGCAACATTTGTTCTCACAATAATTCGGGATACTACTAATCTAGAAACACAAATAGTAGTATATCACGCATATTTTTCATCGATTATGAATTATGGAATTACTGTATGGGGCTCATCAAGCCAGGCCAAAAAAATATTTATTCTCCAAAAAAGAGCTGTAAGATTAATGGCCAGAGTCTCCCGTAGAACACATTGTAAAGATTTATTTATTAATTTTAAAATTTTAACTTTTTTTAGCTCTTATATTTACAAATTGGCATTAATGGTTAAAAGTGATTTCGACACATTCATGGACTGTCAACAATCTCATCCACATAACACAAGATTCAAAAATATTATAAAACCAGTTCAACATAGGCTTAAAATCTTTCATTTATCCCCTCAGTATATGGGACCAAAAATTTACAATAAATTACCCGCTGGGATTAAAAACATTGCCTCATTCTCTAAATTTAAACTATCTTTAAAAAATTTCCTTTTGGAGAGGGCATTTTACTCGTTAGAGGAATATCTGGAAAATGAGTATATTTGAAAGATATTGCTTCTCCCATAGGTTTGTAGCTTATTATATGCTTTATTTCTTTTGTAAGCTATTTTATTTTAAAATGTAGTATAGTACAGTAGAACCCCTCATATCCGGCCTTGGTTTTACCGGTCCTCTGTTTATCCGGCCCCTTCCAGGAAGCCATTAAGAAAATGTTTTTCTCGCATCTTACAGACATTTAGATGCAAGCACTAGTCTTTGCGTTTACTCAAGTCATAAAATGAATTGTTCTCACTATTTATCTGTTTGTTTATAATTTATTTACTGTGTCACTATACTCAGTTGAGCTAGTAGGCCTAACCTCTGAACAGTTGGTTGATTATTTTCCAAAGTGGGGTTAGTACAGTACAGTACCGTACCGGTACATTAATCTTTGTATTTCACTAAGTGGATAAGAAAGTTGAGTAACTTATAAATGCATGTACCATTTAAGTCCTAATGATCTTCAAGTCCAATTCATTGTCATTTTACCTCCATTATTGTTTAATATTTTTTGTAGGCCTACCTGGAATCATAGTATTTGTACTATCATTACTTAACGACTTTAGCTTACAAATAATTTTTTTTTAAGTTATAAACATGTTTATTCTTCTAAAAATAATCCCAGAACAGACTTGAATGATACTTTTGACTGCATATATTGATTAGATAATATTATTAGGTCAATGGTCATTTTCATAGTAGGTTGGTTTATCCGGCCAAATCGTTATCCGGCCAGGGGCTTGGTCCCGTGGTGGCTGGATATGAGGGGTTCTACTGTATTAGTATTAGACTTTGTGACAAATCACCTGTCAAGAGAATTGATGTAATGTGACGATGTTTAATAAATAAATAAATAAATAATTGTGACTGGGGGTAGTTCGGTTTATTGAATAGTTCGGATTACAGAACATATTGTTGTTTTTACATAACAAAGCTAGGGAAAAGTGAAAAGTGCTTTTTAAAGTAGAATACAGAATTTATATAATACAGTATTAAACATAAGGAATAAACAGTAGGCCTACTATACATTACAATTGAAATAACTATGGTGCGTATATAAATAAATACAGTATACATACAATAAAGAACTACTGTACTGTGTATAGAGTACAGCAATGAGGCGTTCGGATTAGTGGACGTTCGGATTACAGGGGTTTGGATTAAAGAGGTTCTACTGTACAATGCATTTGGCCGTCCACATGCCTGTGCATGGATCTTAATTAGCTAAACAAGAAGTTATCCAATACAATATACGTTTACACAAAGCCAACTACAGGCAGGTCATTTGCCTCAAATTACTTGCAATGCACTAGAGGTAAGTAACCTGCCGCCATACTGTCCTTGTGTAAACACGGTTTTTGGGAATAAACAGTACTAATAGATTGATGAAGGAATTTAGTGGCACAATCAGGACATGAACCCACAACATTGCTGTCATAGTTTCCCCGTCGCTCTAGTGACTCCAATTATTATTGTACAGTTGAAATAACAATGAATTAATCAAATGTCAGCTTCAAGCAAATAACTTTAGTTGTATACGTTTTGAGATCAAGAATGCTATTCTTCCCTACGATAATATTTGTAATTAAAGAAAAAAATCAACACCTATATATTTCCCAAGGGAGGAGCCAAGCTGAGTTTGATGTAAAGATCCTTGCGCATCCACACTTCCTGGACGAGTTCCCAGAAACGGAATTCGTAAAAACTGAGGGCGAGCGGCTAGAACTTAATTGCAGCGTGGGGGGAAATCCAGAACCCAAGGTAAAATATTGTGTGATTTCATGTTAAAATTGCAATATGTGCAGTAGGCCTATTACAAATTTTACCCAATATTGAAATCCCAGAATGTAAAGAATAAATCTAAAATCAGGGATGGACAGAATTGTACTTTTGGTTAGGGATGCAATTTTTATTTCCCTCCTGATTTTCAGGGCGGGATTAGGATGGGATTCTTTCCCCTGGGCAAAACGAAAACATTACAGTAGTTTGATTTAAGAATCTTAAGTTGATATTCTTACGGATTGCAATAATGACTAACAAAATCAATTTGCAGTACTTCTGAAAATTGTGTTAAAACCAATTAATAATTGGTTAAAGAACATTGGTAACAAAAACCGTTTGTAAAAAATAAAAATTATATCTTAATTTAAATTTTCTTTTTCTGAAACATAACTATTATTATAAAAAGCCACTAGCCAATCACAAACAATTCAGTATTCAAGCTAACTCCCATTCATTTCTAAAAACTATGTAGGGTATTAAGACCTGATATGAAGGATTGTGTATGTCATGAAAGACTTTGGTGCATTGCATTTTCCTTGGCGAATTTGGCTACGAAGATAACGTCTGTGACCTTTGCGTGTTCAGTTGGTGCCAAAAATACAGCCATATTCTAACGACAGGTTGGAAAACCCAACCCTAATCATTCTTAAAAAATATATTTCCCGAAAAATTCCTGAAATTTCAGAACCTCTCCATACTTAATAAATGTTATTGAAACATTTATCTTTGCCATAAGTTGACATGCCGATTGTATGACAGATCAGCTGGAAGCGAGTAGAACAGAATCTGCCCGTGAGTCAACACACGTCTCCTGGAGTGATGTTGGAACTGCCACACAGGTGGAGGCTGGTAATACCCTCAGTCAGGCCACACCACTCTGGCACCTACCAGTGTACTGCTACCAACCAGCTGGGCAGGAACACCAGGACATTCTCTCTCAGAGTCACCGGTGAGTCCCTCGATCAGTTAGGTATAGACACCAGGACCTTTTAACCAGAGTCACTGGTAATTCACTCAATCAGTCGGGTAGAGACACCAGGACCTTATCTTTCAAAGTTACGGGCACCTTGACCAGTTAGGTAGATCAGGACCTTATCTTTCGGGGTTACTGGTTCCATCAATCAGTTGGTGTGTAGTATTTAATGTATACTACTATATTAATTAACCTTTCATTAACGCTGATTTTTTGTTCCTTTTCTACTGTCATTTAAAATAATCCTGTTTGTTCCATCCCTGTCAATCAAAATAATCAAATTTACAATTAATTTACTAAAACATTTTTCAACTCTACAGCTCCACCAGAACTAGATGGTCCCAAGGAGGAATCCATTGACGTTTCCAGAGGAGACAGGTTGTCTTTGCAGTGTAGGGTGTGGGGTACTCCTGCTCCCAGCATTTCGTGGGAATACGAAGAAACGGATGCTAGGTCAGTAACAATATTTAATAGGCTATTAAAACTGTTTGAATCTAAATGTGTCATAATTTACATAAGACGTAACTAAAAAAGTATAATGGCTGGCAGTCAAGTAAGTTATTCGATCTCCCATCATCCCTGAGCAAGCTAAATTAAATCTAACTCTAATACTGTTTTACCTAGGTTATGCTAAGTTCTGTCTTACAATTATTTTGGATTTGTTTTTTGAAATATTTATAATTATTGTTTATATATTGGGTATATTTTCTACCTGTCTTGTACATTTTGTGTCAAAGCGTAAAGGTAAAAACACATGTTTTAAAATCTCCTTCTGTTCCATACAACAGTTATTAGTGTATGTATTTTATTTTCATAATTTCAGCAACTTCCAAAAGATTGAGAGTGAAGGTGTGGATCCCCGAATATTGGAGGTGTCTGCTCAAAGTGGACTGTACAGATGCAATGCTAGCAACTCTCTCGGCTCCGTGTCTAAACTGTTCAACGTAACCATCTCAGGTGAGCTCTGCACTCTGCATTCTAAAACTTGAATCACTGATAAAAAAGTTCTCATGTATCGAAAGGCTTGGGTGCTGTATTAAATTAAAGTGTTAATTATTAAAGAGTTTTTTTTTATTTAAATCATTTTTTTGTTTTTAGCGAATTTCCCTATAGGGAAGTAGCTATTACCGTAGGTGGCACGGTAAGACCTAGACCCGGGACCGATTTACTTTTTCATTTTGATGTCCCCAGAGGCCAAAAACACCATTCGTTCAAATTTTTATATATGTATATATATATATATACGTCCGTGAACGCGATAACTTGAGTAATTTTTGTCCGATTTTGATGAAATTTGGTTTAAAGGTGTAAAGCGGGATAAACTTGAATAAGTTCGCGAACCAGCATGATCGGACCATGGGAACGGGGCTTTACGGGGGGTTTTATGGGGTAAAAATTGGGTTTTCTCACTTTTGACCCTCAAAACACAAAATTTCCCGATTTCTCTTTAGACCTTTTTAAATAGCTTAAAAAAACAAATAATTTAGTGTATAAAAGTATTTTTGTTCTATTATTAGTAACGGAGAAAATTTAAAAAATTGTAAATTTAAAATTCCCATGTTATTCTTATGGAGAATATTGTCAAATGTTGTAGTTTGCTTGTTTATGGATATATTTTGATTTTTGATCAAACTTAATTTATTTATTTTGTACTAAGCTATCAATATTTTACTCAAAAACAAACTTTATTAGTTTCCTTGTAGCAGCAAACCTAGGTACTCGTTAAACCTAATGTAATTAAAATATATTTAACTGAAAATCAATTCAGACAAATGGAAATTCGCTTAGTCGGCAGGTTTGCTGCGGTGGGGGTATTTTACTTTAATGGGGGATATTATTTCATATGTTGTTGGTGTTGTAAATAGTAAAGAAAGACAAACAGGAAGAAGACTTGGCAATGTTGTGGGAGTAGGCAGGAAGAACAATAATCTGTTATGCTCAACCACAGAGAGCTGTTGTTTTAAGTACCAGTGTATTTTTTTCAAGGCCATTTTATAAGAAGTGAAGAAGTGGTAATGCAGGGTGTTTGTAAGTTGATGAGGCTGGAGCCTAAGGCCTTTAACCTGGTTGCCAATAGGCCTTAAAGCTTTATTTAAGTCTTCAAATAGCCGAATAGGTACAAGAACAATATTTCTTCAGAAGAGTGAATCTCTTGGTGTTACAGAGCCACCCATGATAGCTCGCTCCGATCTGACGGAGGAGTTACGAGTGAAGCTGGGCGGAGACCTGGTGTTGCCGTGTGAAGTCACTGGACAGCCGACGCCCTCCGTCACCTGGCTACATAACGGCCACGTTCTGCCCGATGGCCACAGTCTCGGCCACACACTGGTGCTCGGCCCTGTCACCACTCGCAGCGGCGGAAAGTATGCCTGCGTCGCCTCCAACAAGGCCGGCATAGCCGAAAAGACATTTAAGGTTAAAGTTCTTGGTAAATCCATTTTATGTTTTTGATTATTATTTCATTGATTTTTATTTTTAAAAGGTAGTTTGAATTGTATGTTTCCAAATGACCATTTACCGTGAAATAGTTAGTAAGCTCAACATAAAGCTGTTTTAGGTTCAGAGCTGTATTCCTATTTTTTGTAGTAACCGCATTATTTTGTATTCAAATAAATATGTTTTTATAAGTAAAATTGAAAATACTAACCATTTACTGTCCAGGAAACTAATGTAAATGGATAGCTGGATGGATTTAGTGCTTTCCTAGTAATTTTGAGGTTTGAGAAGGTTGGCAGTTTAGGTTGAAGTTTGATCTTAAGAAAAGTCAGAAGGTTTTTTATTATTCCTTACTCTGCTGCCTTTGATAATTTAAGTTTATGATTTTCATTAATGGCACTGGCTTAAGGACTAGCTGATCTTAGTGGCAAAGCTGTCTTCTCGTCCATCACTCCCTTATCTCCACCTAAAATTACGCACCCCGTTGAGTTGGGACAAGTCTAATGTAATCTCCCAAGAAACGGATCTAGAAAAGAAACACAATAGAAATAAACAGATCTTGTAATCTACAAAGACAGTTGTATGACATATTTTTCCATCACCATTTTGGTTAAGCATTCTGTTTTTGCATTGACTTAAAATATTTTCCCATACTTACTCCTTTCATAAAGCCTTTCTTTATCATTATATAGAGCAAAGTTTATCATATAGCAGGTTTACCTGTACGGGGAAAAGTCGACTACGCCACAAGAAAAACAAAAAAGCGTGTATTATAACTGTAGAAACACTGTACAATAAAGCTAAACTATTTTACTACCACTGACAGAATTTACAACTAAGGAAGAGTTTGGAGTTTGGTAGAGAGAATCTGGTGTAAATTTTTTATATTTTTTATATTTCTTGCGCCAAAGTTAAATCTTTCCCCATCAGGTAAGCCTGATATTCTAACCAAATTGCTCAAAACATAGCCCTTATGCTCTATGTTACATCAAATCCATTATTTAGTTATAGTTACTGTATTATTGCATTTCTAACCTGATGGTTTTCCACAGTGCCTCCGCGGATATCAGAGACCTACCAGTTCTCCGCCGACCCACAAGTGGCGGTTGTGGAGGGGCTTCCTCTCACACTACGTTGCCCCGTCACTGGGACTCCTCCCCCCGCCATCGCATGGGTCAAGGACGGGGCACCACAGGATGGCGGGGAGATGTTTACAGTGGCTGCAGCAACGTCTCACGACGCTGGCAATTACACTTGCACTGCTACCAACCACGTTGGCAACGTGTCCAAATCATTCATTGTTGTTGTGCACAGTAAGTTTTCTGTTTGATACTGTGCTGTAAGTGGTTCATGTCAGAGCTAAGCTGTCTTATTTTCTGGGGGTTTAAATTAAACATATTCAGCTTGTTTATGATTGACTGAAATCCACTAATTTTACTAGGGTTCACAAAAACATTGACCATGGATTGAACTATACATCCATGTTAAAGTTGTTACAAGACTAAAATTATATAGTGCTCGCCTTCAAATCTGAAGGTCGCTTGTTTGAATCCAAGTGAGATCGTTTCCAGACCCAGATGCCATTTGTCATTGGGCTTTGAATTAATTATGCTATTTGACAAAAAGGTCGAAGTTAGATAGTAACAAGACCAGGGTTTGGACTGTTTTCTTTTAAAACGTAAAAAATGCCACTTTTTAGAAACACAAAAATAAAAATATAAAATAATAATCAATGTTGTTTAATTGAGCAACCAATAGAGTGGGCGGATGTAAATTGTTGATGTCCGTTAACTACACAAATCTTTTAAACAAGCCAACCTGTGGCATCTTATTTTAAACCATAACAATTTATGTTGAAAATCTTTGTGAACTAAATTTTAGATCACGGGTCAAGCAAAAGTATTATTTTAGGGAACAAGTTCTCAATGAGTTTCATAATGAACGAATGAATGAATGAATGAAAATACTTATTTATTGAGGCGAACAATTAGGACCACATGGTCCTTTCTTACAGTTAACCACGTAGCTACCAACAAGTTATGAACAAGTTTTAAAACAATATTCATTCATGAAAATGTTTACAGACCAGTTTCTTAGCAAACAAGTTATCAAACCAGTTCATCGTTGAACATATTTCTAACTATTTACCTGCTACAGGTGCACCAAAGTTTCTAGACGAGGAAACCTCTCCACAAATTGAGCTCCTGAGCAAGTCTACGCTCCGTTTGAACTGCTCCGTCTCAGCCAATCCTCCACCCTCCATCATGTGGCTCCGAGGCTCCAACCATGTGAACTCCTCGGTCGTCAATCTCTCTAGAGACAACCAGACTTTGGTATATTTCAGCTGGTTTAATCTTGTAGTTTTGTTTGTCTAACTAATCACTTTAAAATAGCACCACCCATACAAACCCCTAGCTATGATCATACATTAAACATACTCCATTAGTAAATTTGTCTTCCTCATAGATCAGCTGACAAATTTTATTGTTAGCTCCGTCTGGTGGGGCTAGGATCGTGTTTTTGTTTACAATTTTTTTCTTGTTATTTTAGTAATTATAGTCTCGTTTAACCAAATAAAACGATCTAATCATAAACATAACTTGTCCCTTAGTTATATAACCAAACAGTAAAGCACAAACCATGAAATAAACCCAAAAATAATAGAAACAACATTTTGTCGACACTAGCGCCCAGTGTCACCAACATGAACTAGACATGAAAAACAAGGTTCAGATTTGTACAATAGGAGGAGAAGTCTACTTGTGTTAATTAGTATATGCTATTACCACTTACTATGGATAGAATTGGTCATCTCATTCCTATGTTAAAGCCAGAGATGGTTTAGAATAAACATTAACCAAGTCGATGTGAGTCACTGACTGTGTGTGCTGATGCCAATTAATGATTTTTGTTGAGTACCGTTTTGTTGGTATGTAAACTTTTTAACCGAGCCAAACTGAAATCACCACTTATTGTAAACCAGAGCATCTGTTAGTCACATTAACAGTAGGTATCAAATAGAGGATTGGTTACAGCTAGTTCATTTAGATGAGATATTTGCTTCTCTGTATCGAAAAGTTAATGCCATTACATACGTATACCTTTACATTTACGTTTTCTGTTACTTCTGGGTCTGGGCTTCAACTAAGTATCTTTATCATCTCCTATCCCTCCTGAGTTCCTGTACTTCTACCATCTGTCATTTTATTACCTTATTCTTTATTACCGCACTTCTCTCGTTTCCTCATCCATCTACCTTCTTCTGGATCATCCTCTCGGTTTCCTCCCATCTACAATTTGAAGTTGTTAACTGCTCATATTTAAACCACAAAAAATTATGTTGAATGGTTTAATCCTCTTATGACTTCTCATTTGATTTTCTAGATCTTATGAATTCATTTAAAACTACACTTGATTTTTTTGCAGACAGTAGACAGTGTAGGATTGGATGATTCTGGCCAATACTCTTGTATCGCCTCAAACATTGCTGGAGCCATGGAGAAAACATTCAGTGTAAATGTCCTAGGTAGGCCTACATAGATTAGGCATAATTACTAGATTTTTCAGCTGGAAGACAGTTTAAGGCAACAATATTTCTCTGGTATTATAATGAAAGAGTAAAGTTTTGACTGTAAAATAATGACCCTGAAAAATTAGAGAAACCTTTAGTTGACATCAATCCACTGAAGCATTACCGAACATGAAACAAATGTTAAAACAAGTTTCAAATTTTACAATAGTTGGATGATAAGCCCATTAGATTGTAAACAGATTTGCTAGAGAGAAATTACATCAAAAAAAAGTTTGATTCCACATTTCATTGCACTGTCACCAAACATTATTTGTACTTTACTGAACAACTTGTTTAAAAAATTAGCTTTCACTTTATTGTTTTTTTAATTTTTTGATTAGATGTAGGCCATATGATCAATTAACCTTTGGGTCAAAAATGCTAGTGAAAATATAAAATGACAGTGAAATTGTATATTTTGTTCGTATTATAAATAATCTTTTATGTTTCTTGTGTTAGTTTGGGCTCTTTAGCATTCAGGTAGGCCTGCTATCCTCTCAGAAGTCCTAGACTATAAATAACTACTTTTCACCATTTTCAATTGTTCATTGTGTAGAGGCGCCTAGTGTGATGGGAGACGAGGCGGCCGGGAACACTTCCTCCCCTCCGTCTCCCCTCAGAGTGATGCTGCATCGTAAGATTGTCCTGGAGTGTCTAGTGTCCGGCACTCCCCAACCCAACATCACCTGGTACAAGGTACGTCAAGTGCTTGGGTGAATAAGGAACATTTAGGTCTGGGGGTTATACTCGTAAGGTCCAATAAACAAGTATAAATGTAATAATTTATACTACAGAACTATATAACTTCAATAGGATTTAGCCTAAGTTAAAAAGAAGCCATTTCATTTCCGTGTACACCACTGACATTTTATTAATGAAATAAATGAAATCATAACAACTATATACTTTTCATTTAGCTAAATTATACCTCTGTATCTCAGTCCTAAATAATTATTTAATTGAAACAATCTTACTTTTTGTTCACCTTCCGTAGAACTCTATTTTAATACAGGAACTCGTAATGTCTACGAGATTTTCCTGCCATGAGATACAGAATTATGAATGAAATCAAACTTAGTGAGGGAAATGAAAAAAGAAACAATGTTACCACTACAAACAATTAAAATAAATCAATTATGCTTCTTACATACTATAACTAAATTTGCTGGATTTTTTTTTTAACAAACAATACAAGAATCAGTATAAATTTTCCGCCACTTCAAAATAAAAAAAATCATAGTAAATTTAGTTCAATTTTTTTCCTTAATAACAAACAACAATAATATTTGCAAAATTCAATATCTATGAAATACACAACAATGAAAATAGAAATAGCTCGCCTGAATACAATATCCGGTTAGTTCAGATAACCTATTAGTATAAATAGTTTGTCACTAGAATGCGCCTGCCTTCAGTTTTGTTGCTTTTCAAGTTATATAAAACCAAATTAAATTGACTTAAAACATTTCTTTTAACTAAACATTTTTCTTAGTAATTTCATCAACTACTATTTTAAAACTACATATAAATAAATACAAATCCATTTATTTGATTCAAACAAAACTTTCCTATATCCCTTTTTTTTAAACAAGACGGATTATTTAGCAAACTATGCCCAAAAGGAAGAATGATAATGATCACGAATACCAAAGATAAGATAAAACTGCTTTTAACTGCATTCATTTTAAAATCCTGTTTGTTCAGTTTAGTTTGGAACAAGTAGAAGTGCGTGCGTTTTAGTGTGATGTGTCGTGTTTTAGTTATAAGTTTAGTGTATTTAGTGCGCGTTAAAGTTTGTGTTTTGTATGGCCTGTCGTATAAGTGTATAAGTAACAGTTTTGTGTCAAGTGTTCAGAGTCACGTATCCTTATTTACTAATTTTAGTCAAAACTTTCACACACATTCTCACCCATTTGATCAATCCATTTGCTCACATTTACACTCACATTTGAACTATACATTTACTCGAACACATTCATTCATCCTGATTCACTATTTTAAATGAATGCGCTATATTTACTAACATTTAATTTTATTTAATTATTGAAATTTTGGTTTTCTTTCGCCATTGTTTGCTAAAATAATTCGCTTTTCCTTATGTATACCTCCTTAATAAAAATATACATTTCCTGACATTACTCTAAAAAAGTAATACAATCTTCTGAATTAGTTTCAGTCCTCTCAGTCCGGTATAAGCATCGGGTTTGAATCACATTCATTTGTCTTCTGCTAGTTTGAGGTCCACAATGTGTACTTTCTTCACGTCTTGATAATTATTCACGTTCTGTATCAAAACTGTTACGTCCGTGATGAAATACAATATCCTATATGGTCCAGAATATTTGATAGCAAGCTTCTTAGAAAAGTTTTTCACTTTGTTGCTCAAATAGTGAGTGCGGACATAAACAATAGAATTGACAGCGAATGGCGATCTTGGATTCCTGTATTTCACACGTTCTTGATTTTTCTTAATGCTTCTCTTGATGTTGTTTATAGCTTTGGTTAGATTTTCTTTCTTCTCATCTTCAGTTAGCTTTGTTGAAATCAAATCCTGTATATTCCAAACATTTGATAGTGCGTTATTACATTCATGATAAAACATCATTTGGAAGGCTGTTTGACCTGTAGACGAATTTACAGCTGTGTTTAAACTAAGTTGGACCAAACCTAAATTGTCATCCCAATTAGATTGATTGTTGTGGTAAAAACATCGCAATAGTGTAGACACATCTCTGATAAATCTCTCAGCTCGATTTCCATTTGCACGCTATACGACGGTGCTCAATGAAATGTTTAAACAAATAGGCCTTGAATTCCTTGGATATGAAATATGAAGCGTTATCAGACACTAATATCCTCGGAGTTGAAAAATTCACAAAGGTTTGCTGAAGTTTTGCGATTATCAATCTTGAATTACAGTCCTTAAGAGCGTGAAGCCATAAATATCTAGTGAATGCATCGACTATCACTAGAATATATTTATTTTGTCCCTTTGATCTCGGCAATGGTCCTAAAATATCAATAAAAACTGTATTCATGGTTTGTTCAACTGGAATTGAAATTAGTTTACCCTCGTATTTTCTTTGTGTGGTCTTCGACATAGCACATATTTTACATTGTTTTATCTTCTGTTTCACAGTTTCATTTAAAATCGGATTGTAAAAATATTCATTTATTTTTCCTTGGGTCCTAGAGATTCCCAAATGACCTCCGATCATTGTGTTGTGGTAAAATGTAAAAACCAAATTTATTAAGTTATCTGGTAGATAAATTTTACTTTTTCCAGATTGGTTTTTGTACATCAAAACTTCATTTTTCAGGTAGTAACACTCTTGATTAGTATTATTTTGTACGCTTTTAATTATCTCTGCACATTTCGAGTCATTTCCTTGGTGATACTTCAAGTCATTTAATGCCATTGGTATCTCTTGAATTAGATTACAAAAATGTATATCTTCTCGTTTGTTTCTCATCATTTTCTTATTACTACTATTTATATGATTTATTTTATTTACATTTCTCTTCTTGTTCCTAATTTCTTCCCTAACAATATTTACAGAATTATTTATCTTCAACGTAGAGTCCTCTTCTGTTGTGATGTCTTCTTCATCAAAAAGTCTTGATAAAGTATCCGCTAAGATATTTTCACTTCCCTTTTTATGTTCGACAGTGAATGGGAGGTTTAGCAGGCGTTCTACCCACCTTGATAATCTTCCCAGTTTCCTCCGAGTGTTTAGTACGTAGCTGAGAGCTTGATTATCTGTTATCAATTTAAAGGGCTGTACTTCCAAAAATTCATGCCATTTTTCGATGCATAATATGACACTGTAGGCTTCTTTCTCATACACACTGTATTTGAGCTCGTTATCATTGAACTTTTTGGAATAGTAGGCAATTGGTAGTAGATCTTGATTTTCATTTTCTTGCAATAAAACTCCTCCTGCCGCTATTTGCGATGCATCCGTTTGTAAAACAAATGGTTTTGAAAAATCAGCTAACTGCAAAATTGGGGGATTTGAAATTTTCTCCCTCAACGTATCAAAGGCAATTTTACACTTTTGGGACCAAATGAATTTATTTCCTTTCTGTTTCAAACTGTGTAAAGGTGCACATATATCGGCATAGTTAGGGATATATTTAGCCCAATAAGAACACATGCCTGTAAATTGCCTCACTTGTCTTACATTTTTGGGTTCGGGAAACTTTTGAATGGCAGTTGTACGTTCTGGGTCGATTCTTACAGTGTTGTCTTTAATTAAGTGTCCTAAGAAGCTGATTTCCCGACAAAAAAATTTTGCTTTGTCAACGTTTACTGTTAGTTTGTGTTTGGCAAGTCTGTCAATGACCTCCTTAACGTGTGACATATGCAGAGACTTGTTAGTGCTGTAAATAACTATGTCGTCACAGAAATTTACCATGTATTTAAACTTTATATCTTGAAAAACTTTATCCAAGTAGCTTGATAGAACGGAGCTTCCAACCTGGAGTCCAAAACAAACACGTTTCATGCGATATTTTCCAAAAATTGTAGAAAATGATGTGATGTCTCTAGAATTTTCTGCTAAAGGACATTGAAGGAAAGCCTTATTTAGGTCGATTACTGTAAAGTAACTAGCCCCTTGTAGATGATGATACATATTTTGGAGGTCACCAATTGGATAGTTCATTTTCACTAATTTCTTATTCAACTCTGAATAGTTGACTACCAATCTATCTTTTGCCGTTAAAAATGCTGGGCTGCTATATTCACTAGTGGATGGTTCTATTATACCTTGGGCTAACCAATCGTCTACTATAGCTTTCATTTTGTTCAATGTGGGCGGACTTAGAAAATAAGGGCGAATACATATAGGCTTATCATCAGTAAGCTTTAGTTCTACTTGTAGGTCAAGTGCCTCACCAATCTTATCAGTAAATACATTGGGATATGATTTTACTAGTTCTTCTATTTCTGTGGTCATCTCTGGAGTTCCAATATGAATATTATTTATTGCTAATTTCTGCCAATTTTCATCTCCACACAACTTTATTTTGTCAGAAGGTGCGAATTTAAAATAACAGTTGTTGTCATTTAAATCAATAATTAGGCCTTTATTCCGAATGAATGGAGCTCCCACTATCATATGATAATAGTTTTGTTTTATCACCAAAAATTTTTCATACCAGGAATACTTGCTTATCTTGATTTTTATCTTGCATTCATTTATGATGTCCAATGGTTCTTCGTTTGCAGCTAACATTATATCAGTCCATTTCTTAGTTCCTCTAATTTTATTTACTGCGTTTAGTTTGTCATAAAGCTCTTTACTTATAAAGTTTCTACTGGCTCCAGTATCGAGTAGAGATTTTACATGTATATTCCCAGTTAATTTTATTTGCATGCATGGTAAAGAATGTATTGTTTTACCTTTGGTTTTAGTTATGCTAGGTTTCTTTAACTTGTTGTGCCCTTTAACTAGTTGTCTCAATTCATTTTTGAATGCGAAACTATGATTTGTATCATCACTAACATTTTGTTTTCTGGGAGGATAAGATACGTGAAGTTCGGTTCTTACACCTCCCAAGTTTATGAGTTTTTTGGTTTTCTGAAGCACTGTCTTGCTGTATGACCTGGTCTAGCACAGTTATAACAAACCCTGTCTCGTGGATATGAGGTCCCACTTGACGTTTGTCCATACCCATGATTTCCCTGATTTTCAACTGATCTATTATGCATATGTCCTGATGATGTATTTGACGTAGTAGGAAACATATTGTGTCTGACATAGTCATTAAAATTAACGTTGTTTAGGTTTATGCACAGTTGGTCTAGATCTCTGAAGGTTATCGGATTTTTTTCAAACACTAATTTATTTCTGATTTCCGGGTGGATGCCATTTTTGATGAAACAAACCAATTCTTCTTCAGTGAGATTTCCCTTCAATACTTGATGATTTGTCTTGACCTCATTTATGTAGATTGACAACGGTTCGTTTGTTTTTTGCGGTCTAAAGATAAGTTCTTGTTTCAGTTTCTCCTTCAGTGTTATTGGTATGAAGGTATTTATGATGTCTGTGTGTAGTCGGTCTATTGATTGATTTGTGTTCTTGTGTTCTAATATTTTATTCGTGAGTGGTTGAGAAGTATATGTAGGCAAGATTTCAAACAGTTGGTGTGAAGTAAGATTGGTCTCGATGGTGATGGTTATTAGGTTTCTTAAAAAGTCCAGCAGAGGATAGATTTCTAGTCCATTACAGATCCTGAATTTTTGGAGATAATTTTCTAACGGATTCTTAATTTTTCCGAATACATTTACATTTTCAATCTCTTGAGAGGGGCCTGCTCGTGGTTGTATTTGTGGACCAAGGCGATTGTTAAATGGAATTTCTATAGGCTTGAAATCTTGAACGACTTCCAATGTCTGTGTGTTATGTTGGGTAGGGGTAGAAGATGTTTGTCTACCATGAATAACATGCTTATTTATCTCTGAGTCGATTTCCTCTTCGTCCAAAATAGAGGTGTTTAATCTTTCTTCAAACTCCGCCAACTCCTCCTGAGGGATGTCATTTAGGATAGCTTCAAATAGCGACGTGGATTTTTGCAATTTATCCACATATTCAGTAAGTCTATTTGTAAAGGATTCTTCTAGTTTACACAGTTTCATATGTGAAATTCTTAAGGCTAAATGGGCTAGCTTAGCTTTGATTTTGGCTACTAATAAGTTGCTATTAGCTTCCTTGCACTGACCTATTAGTTCCTCTACACTACATAATTTGTTTTCTATCGTGTCAAATTCATCTTTAAGTATAATTTTCCCTTTCAAATTAATAACATTTGTTGGAACGTCTTGACATAACCTTAATTGCCTCCTTAAACTCTGAACATCATTGTTGATAATATCTTGTCCTCTTGATAAGAGCTCATATGTTAGCTCTTCTTTGATAAGGTAATTCAAGTTAAATTTAGACATGTTTATGAAATTATCTTGCTATAGATTCATGCTCATTTAGTAATTAGGCTGTAATGTAATATTTCACTCTAGGCTAGTAAAAATTAGGCTTGGTTAAAACTTTAAAAGTAGGCTATAGTGATTTCCTGATTTTTTGTTATATTTTGTTGTTCTGTACAGCAGAGTCGCGCATATATTTATACTCGTAAGGTCCAATAAACAAGTATAAATGTAATAATTTATACTACAGAACTATATAACTTCAATAGGATTTAGCCTAAGTTAAAAAGAAGCCATTTCATTTCCGTGTACACCACTGACATTTTATTAATGAAATAAATGAAATCATAACAACTATATACTTTTCATTTAGCTAAATTATACCTCTGTATCTCAGTCCTAAATAATTATTTAATTGAAACAATCTTACTTTTTGTTCACCTTCCGTAGAACTCTATTTTAATACAGGAACTCGTAATGTCTACGAGATTTTCCTGCCATGAGATACAGAATTATGAATGAAATCAAACTTAGTGAGGGAAATGAAAAAAGAAACAATGTTACCACTACAAACAATTAAAATAAATCAATTATGCTTCTTACATACTATAACTAAATTTGCTGGATTTTTTTTTTAACAAACAATACAAGAATCAGTATAGGGTGTAGAAAGGAAATAGTAGTAATTGGTTTTAGAGAGTGCGAGAAACAAAATTATAATTTCTAAAGAGGTTTCAAAATAGTAATCTATCCCAGTGTCTAATGGATTAAAGGAGAGTTGTAAGAAGTATCAATTTTGGCTGTGCAAAACTTGATCCTGAGATACTTATTTGAAATAGCTTTTTTGTTGTTGCTGCACATGAGTGGGTAATTATACTGTTCACTGTCAATACACAATGGTATAATAGTTGAGACGTTAGACTTATTGATTCCCAAAAACGTTGAAAATCTTCCAATCCATGGGACAATTTTTGCAACTGATTCCCTTGGCTAAAAGAAATTGAGGCAGTATGGACTATTTCTTTAAAGCCTCCTCATTAATGTTAGTACTTGCGCTGTTGCAGGATGGAGAACTATTGTCTGGATACCAGACAAGCACAGATGGCCGAAATCTGCATATCATGAACGCAGTCACTAGACATGGAGGAAACTACAGCTGCAGAGCGGAGAATCAAGCTGGCGTGACACAGCTGTTTCTACCTGTGATTGTCATAGGTGAGTCACACTTAACACACTAACTCTTATAGTCAGCCAAAAGAGATAGTTTGAGAGTTCAAGTACAAAACATTTGGCACAACGTACTTATGTCGCACAATTTCAGGTTACAGTAAAACCTCACTAATCCGACCTCGGCTAGTCTGACTCCTCTTGCTAAATCTGACCATGTCATTGATGATGTTATTGCAGTAATATTGGGATCATTTCCCATGAGGTTACATTGTCACTCCTGATTATGTTTAGTTATTTTGTCCGACTAGTATACTCGTAGTGCAAGGAAAAAGCATTCCGTCTCTTCTACTGTCTCCCCAGTTGTTCTCTTACTTTGTTCTTAACTGAATTCCGTCTACAGTGCCTCTCCAGTGGACCGACTGGACAGCTTGGACAGTCTGCAGCAAGAGTTGTGGAGGAGGGAAGGAGTCAAGAGAGAGACAGTGTGGACACAACACCAACACGAGTTCTGCGTTTGTAGAGTTTGACCTGTCAGAATGTGTGGGAGACAAAATACAGAGCAGACCGTGCAACGTTTTACCGTGTCAGGTAAAACTATTTGTTCCTACTCAGATATGTATTGATTGTTTTGAAAAGAAGTAGAATTATGTTGATGCTTTTGTCTGAGATGAGAGTCTGTGCAAATATTCAATTTCAGATGAAAGTTGGAACTTGATTCCTCCTCCTTCTAGATTTATTTAATGTGAAGCTTAAGGCTTCAGTATTTGCATATAATCCAATTTTTAAATAAACATTTCAACATAGATTTTTTCATATTTATGCTAGGCTCTCAATGTGATTGAATAAAGTCATTTTTGAAAAAAAGTATTATAAAGTTAAAGAAGGTGAAAGCCAGGTTTAAGAGCTTAAGAATTGATATATAATCTTTAACATAAACACTTACGAGCTAGTGAGTTTTGTAGTGTAGGAAACTGAACTGATCAAACATATTCCTAATGTATGAAATCATCATGTCCTGCCTGCTATAGGTGCACGGTGGATGGAGTGAGTGGACGGATTGGACATCATGTTCAGAGTCATGTGGCCGAGGCACCAGACGGCGCTACCGGCGTTGTGACTCCCCTGCGCCGGCTCTAGGCGGAGATACTTGTCTCGGCTCCGACGGTGAACAAGAAACCTGCACCATCCAGCCTTGTCCTCAACAGTCGCAGTGGTAATACTGTCAATTTTTTTTTTTAAAGAGATAAGCAGAACTTCTGTTCCAGAGGTCCGGGGCTCAAATCCTGCCAAATCGTCAATGGATTTTATCTAATTGATGATTCCTTAGGTGTAGTCTGAAATAATGTGAAAAACAATCTCGAGATAAACCCAGCGTCTTAAAACAAAAAAATTTTACTAAGCTAAGAACTAGCTAATCTTGGTTAGTGACTAAGCTATTATCTCACTTATACAACAAACACTCTTCATTTACATTTGTCTTAAAATATGCTTCCTAGTGTATCAGCTTTGTATGGATTCAATTCAAATCACACCGTGATGTACAAGTAGTTATCAATCACTGATAGTTTGTCAATCAATCCCACTTAAATGTTAATCAATCTGTGTGTTGAATGTGAGTGTTGTGTGCTCTAGGAGTGAGTGGACATCCTGGAGTGAGTGTACGGCCAAGTGTGGTGTGGGAACTAAGTTCCGCGCTCGTCAGTGTGTCCGTGGCGAGGAAGTAGCGGATGATTGTGAAGGCCCTAAGCAACAAGTCAGCAACTGCTCCAACCGAAAATGTCCCGGTGAGTAACAGATATTTCATATATCAGTCAAGATTGTATGTAAATGTTAAAAGAACAGTCGGCTGTAGCTGAAGCTGTAGAAAATCATAATTTCCTAACACAGGACTTACTACTTGTAATCTGAAATTGAAACAGTCCAATGCTTATCTCAAGTTGTATAACTTGTTCATTGCAAAAAAACCTGAATTTGATATCAAAAGAGATATCAAATAAATACATAATTATATGATTTTAGACAAAATAACCCACCCAAGTATTGTGATATCAAAGAGGAAACATACTTTTCACCAATAAAAACGATGAATTAATATTAAGAATAATAGTAGCCTACTTTTACCTTCCTAAAACTTTATTTTGTTTATGTCTTATGATGATCTTAAACATCTGAGGAACTCCACCATGAGATATTTTTAGCAATCTTGTTTTAAGACAGAAGATATGCTCAACTTTTAACTGTAGTTAAATTCACCTTCCAGTTATCAATCCAACAATATGTGATTGACTCTTTGCACAGATAACTTAACTTATTCTGAAATTCGTTCTAAACTTGTGTATTCAATCACTGGTTGTACCACTAAAGAACCTCAGTACTTTGGAAAAGTCAAGATTTTTCCTATGACGTGTGACCAACAATATTTGTGAATGAGTATTCAGCTAGTAGAGCACTGGGCTTTAATCCTTGAGGTCTTGAGTTCAAATCCAGCCAATCATCAATAGTTAACCTTTGGGAAATAGCTGTGACCCTTTAGGACTATCGTGTACAAATGTGTAGAGCATTTCCCTTCTAGAGCCTATCATCCTAGGATGTGAAGTAGGACATAACAAATTGTTTACGAACACGATGCACTCTGTACAGTGGATGGCAAGTGGACGACTTGGAGTCCGTGGTCGTCGTGCTCTGTGACCTGTGGCAGAGGACTGAGACAGAGACATAGACTCTGCTCTCGCAGACTCTATGGTGGGAAACCCTGCTTCGGAGATAACATTCAGGTAGGAAATAAAATATTAAGCACTATTCCACTACTGCGAGACAGCCTGGTTTTTTGTGATTGCATTTCAACTTTATGCATTTCAAATGAATTAAATAGAAAAATTTAATTTGTTTTTGTAAACACCACGGTAAGTAAAAAAAATACCTGTTTATCTTGATCCAACACTTTGTTTTATCTTTATGTGTTAAATTTATAATTTTAATAGGTTACTACAGTCAGTGAAAAGTGAAAAAGGAACTTTGGAACTGGCTTGTATACCTATTAGCATACTCAATCAAGGATTTTTTTCATCTAAAAAGATTATGGAAAACCAAAGAAACCAAATAACTATTGTAATTCAAGAATAACTTTCTACTATATGTATTTTAACACTAATTTATTTAAAAAAAACTACTAATAAAGATGTTTGTATATATTGTCCATAGTGTTACTGTTCTGCATTGAGAGATTCAGTGTTGTCTCAATTAACTTTTTCTACAGTACAATGCAATTCTTGCATTTTTCTTTTCTTACTTTTAATAGTAAAATATGGTGTGACACACTAGATAGTTTGGTTAAATAACGCCAATCCAATCAAACAGGAAACAACCCCATTTTTTGTTTTTTTTTACTCAGCAATTACAAATATTACCATTCATAACGCTATTAGTAAACTTGAATGTATATGTGTCAATTCATTCACCTTGATTTATATTTGATCTCATTCACAAAAACTCCAACAATATCTAACTCTGGGTTTTGGTATCTTCTCAAAATTTAATTTTCTCCACACTTCTCTCCTTCTTCTTGTTCTTCCACTTTTCCTCGTTCCGAGGATTTTGCTGTTGATAACTTTCTTCAGAAGCTACCTTGAACAATTTCCTTGGTTCACTTCACGTTACTCCTACTAATACTCGTCTGGTATTTTCATCATAAAGTTATAATTTAAAAGTTATCAATTTGTAGAATATTCAAGTAATGTGTGTATCTGGTAAAATGACTCTTATTAATTACAAAATAATTAATAAATGCACGCATATTAACTCAACACAAAATCTAATTCATGAATGTTTACAAAACAAAAAACAATAGAAAAACATATGATAGTAAAAGTAGGTATAAATGAATTATTAACAGTCTTAGAGAAGACATAACAGTCTCCCCCACTATTTTGAACTTGCAGTGTATTATTATGAAAGCACAAAGTCCTTGTATCAGCCCGGCATTTGCCTTTGTCGCCTTGATCTCTCTTGATTCTCAGGAATATGGCCATTGTTTGTCTCTGTTTCCTGAACTTCTGGAACCTCTGAATTGTTTTCTTTGGAAGTTGGCGTTTATTCGGGAATTGGTGGTCCTTCGGGAGTTGACGGTCCTCCGGGATTTGATGTCCTTACGGCAGTTGATGGTCTTTCAGGAGTTGACGGTCTTTCAGGATTATCTAATTGATTATAAGGAGTAGCAGCCGTAGTGTTTCCTTTGGTGCTGTGTTTAGAAGCCCGTGGAACATCAAATATGTGGATTGGTCCAGCCCTAACAACCTTTGGTTTTGGTATCAAAGTAGACCGCAATTGATCAATGTGTCGTTTTATAAGTCGGCCTGACGTATCAAGGGAAACTAGGTAGTGTCGAGTTCCCAACTTTTTATTTACCTCTCCAAACTCCCAAACGTTCTTGTTGTTCATGAAGAGACGAACCTGAACCCTCTCCCCCTCATTGAATGAACGTGCAGAAGGAGCATTTCTAGTTGAAGCTTTTTGTATGTTAGGAAAAATGGCATCCATTTGTATTCTTAACTTCCTGTGGAGGTAAAGTTCAGCGGGTGATTTGCCACATGCTAGAGGAGTTGCTCGGTACCGCATTAAGATCTTCTGGACCTTTATTGCCATTGGTATGTTTTCCGAAGCTGTGGACTTCAGGCGGTTCTTTAGTGTTTGAACAGAGCGTTCTGCTAAGCCGTTTGTTGCTGGGTGTCCTGGAGATATGAATTTCTGGAAAACGCCATGCAATTTGCAATAAGCTTGGAATGTATCACTTTGAAAAATTGAGGCGTTGTCAGATACCATAACATTCGGGTAGCCGTGTGTAGCAAAGATCTGTTCAAGTAGATGTATGGTATTGGAGCTGGATGGTGCATCTTTGATTACTTTTATCTCCGCCAATTTTGATCTAGCATCAATACACACGAGGAAGTTGAAGCCTTGAAACGGTCCTGCGTAGTCAATGTGTATTCTTTCCCAGTTCTCTTTTGGGATTTCCCACGGGTGGATGGGAGCTTTGGGTGGATTTGACCGTGTGAGTGCACAATTTTCACATCCTTTCACAAGATGTTCAATGTCCTTGTCAATAGTTGGCCAGTAAACATAGCGCCGTGCTAGCTGTTTCATTTTTGTGATTCCCAGGTGACTTTCGTGAAGTTCATTTAGAATTTTGTTTCTAAGTAGTGATGGAATGTAAACTCTTTCTCCCCGGAAAATAATGTTTTCGACCAACGTAAAATCAGAATCAGTTGAATTGGTGAGTAGGTCTTTCAAAATCTTAGAGAGAACTGGATCTTTGGCTGTCTCGTTCTTAATGATTTCAGCTGTGATTTCATGGCTTGAAATTTGAAAAATAACTTGGCTGCAGATTTGGTGTACCTCTTTTCCGATTTTCTTGTCTTTAGTAGAGTGAGTCTGTGTAAGAGGAGCTCTCAAAAGACAATCCACGTTTTTATTTTCCATGCCCTTTTTGAACACCAACTTGTAATTGAAACCTGACAGATATGATGCATATCTGAGTAAACGAGCTGAAGTCATTTGTGGTAAAGCCTTGTCATGTCTGAAGATCCTAGATATGGGCTGATTATCTGTTACAAGTTGAAATTGAGTTCCGAATAAGTAATAATAGAAGTGGGAGACACCAAAAACTATGGCCAATGCTTCCCGGTCTAGTTGACTATAGTTACATTCGGCATCAGTGAGTGAACGTGAGGCGTAAGCAATTGGTCTCTCAGTACCATCTATTAAAGTGGCTAAGAACTGCAGCTAGTCCAGTAGGTGAAGCGTCTGTGGTGAGGACTAACGGTAGTTTTGGATCGAAAGGTACGAGTATCTTGTTACTGCAGAGCTCAGTTTTGATTCGTTGAAAAGCCTTTTCACATTCTGGTGTCCATTCCCATTTCTTATTTTTGCGTAACAAACGTCGCAAAGGAAAAGTGACAGTTGAAGCATCTGGAAAGAAACGAGAGTAGTAAGGAACCATTCTTAAGAATCGTCGTAATTCTTCAACTTTTGATGGACGTGACATTTCTTTAACAGCTTGAACTTTGGTAGGAGATTTCTTTATTTTGTTTAACTCCACCACTCGTCCTAGATATTCTATTTGTTCTTGAAAAAATGAACACTTCTGTTTGTTTATGTGTAAGTCAAAGTCTGAGAGTCGTTGAAGACAGGCCTGTAGATTTCTTTTGCACTCATCCATTGTTGAGCCATGGCAAATTATGTCATCAAAGTAGGCCTCGGTTTTAGGCAATCCCTTCAAAATTTGTGTAAGAATTCGGTTGAATTCAGAAGGTGCTGTCTTTATTCCGAAACTTAGACGATTGACACGATATGTTCCACGGTGTGTTGACATTGTCTGGATAGTACTGGACTCTTCGTCGACCTTGAGGTGCAGATAAGCTTTGTACAGATCAAGTTTGCAAAAGTAACAAGATCCTCTCAAACTATCGAGTACATCGTCAATTCTTCGAATAGGATGGTTTGCCTGGACTATTCGTTCATTCACACCACATTTGTAGTCGACACAGAGACGAACACTTCCATCTGCCTTAGGTATCACGACTAGTGGTGACCCCCAATCACTTGACGTAACAGGCGAAATGATTCCTTCATTTTAACCCTTTCCACTCAAATTATTTTGCATGGCTGTTCCCTCACACTTGCATTTAATTTAAAGAAAAATGGCATGTTTTTGGTTTTTAGTGTTTTTTTTATCTAATATTAGTTATTTAATAAGGTTGAGCTATTGATTCTTATTCAGCATAAATTATTATACAATATAAACATAAAATTACAATTTTAGTTTTAAAATTTTATTTTTGGTATGGTCATAAATAAACAAAAGCAAAATACATTTTTACAAAATCCATACGGGTTATTATCTAATTGTGGGACAAAATGGGGGAAAAAAAATTTAATGTTTTTTATAGAGAAAGTAAATTTATTTTTTGTTAATTGTTATAAAATAACCTTACAAACATAATATCAGCCTTAGCATAGCTTAATTTTAATATTTACAATTTTTTTTAAAATTTTTACTGGCCGAACATAGAGATGTTTGTCAGATCGCTAACGTTCTTATTAAAATCTATAAAAATCCATTCTTTAAAATTAGACCTTAAAAAGTATAGTTTTAGGATAAAACATACCTACAACAATGTATTCTACATATAATTATAAACATTTTTACGTTTTATGTATACATAAACGGTACAAATAGACGAATATTAAACCAACTGGCATGATTAAAACATTTAAATTTCAAGTAATGTTCGAATCTAAATTTGTATGGATTAGATTTTTAGGTTATGTGTAAGAACAGATTAAATTATTTCATGTTATTAACCTTAAATATGAAAATAAATCTATTTTACTGGATTTTAAGAGTTTTTGTCAGCGTTAGCGATCTGTAACGGCGTTAGCGATCTGTAACGGCGTTAGCGATCTGTCACTGACGTCAGCGATCTGTCGCGGTCTATAGTAAAACAATCAAAACTACAGTATTACGTCAATCAAAACAGTAATCCTACAAAAGAAAGAAATACAAATGACTCTTGGGAGATTACAAGAACAAGATAATTACAATTCTAGAAATGAAGGTGACAGTTTTCATTTTAGAACCAGTATAACAATAGCAACAAAAATTTGGAGTATTACGTAAATCAAAACAGTAAGCCTACAAAAGAAAGAAATAATAATGACTCTTGGGAGATTACAAGAACAAGATAATTACAATTCTAAAAATGAAGGTGACAGTTTT